AAGTAATACTTCCTGATATTATTTTTAAACCTTTGTCCCTCTAATTTAAGACTATGTCCTCTTGTTGTGGTAGTTTTTCTTCTTTTAAATATAGTCTCCTCCTTTACACACTAAAACTACAACACGCATTGCATTCACCATGCACACACTAAAACCACAACACAAACACACACTGCATTCACCATACGCACACTAAAACTACAATACAAACATATACTGCATTCACTATACACACACTAAAACCACAACACACACTCTGCATTCACCATACGCACACTAAAATCACAACACAAACACACACTGCATTCACCTTACACACACTAAAGCTACAACAAAAACAAACACTGCATTCACCATACACACCCTAAAACACACACTGCATTCACCATACACACACTTAAACCACAACACAAACACACACAGCATTCACCATACACACACTAAACCACAACACAAACACTCTGCATTCACTACACAAACACACACTTTATTTAAAACACACAAAACTACATTTATTATACAAATGTGCAATCTGTATCCATTTTGCACACCACACAGGCCATCCTTGTGGGTGTACTCAGAATGGGCCCCCGGGGCAGACTCGGGGGCGGGCCCAGGAGGCCCACACTTTGAACTGTGTCAGGGGCCCCAAAATGTCTGATGGCAGCCCTGCATTCACTAATCACCTATACACACACACACACACACTCTATGCACACACTCAACATCCCCTGTACACACTATGCCCCCTATACACACACACTCTACAGAACCTAGACACACATACATTATACCACAAACACAACACTACAACACCACAATCAGCTCATTCTACAGATAGGCAATCCCACAAGCAGGTCCAAACACATGCACAATACTCTTTCCTGCCATTTTTGTCCCTGGTATCCCATTTATGGAGTTTGCTTGAAACTTGAAAACACGTTTCAAGCAAACACAGTGCAGGCATGTTATTAAATTTGCTTGAGCTGTGCATAACAAATACAGGGCCTTTTTCTAATGCTAGAGCTCTTCTGCAGAACTCTGCGCATGGATTGTTAAAAGTTTTAGAGCATAGCACTTAGATAATACTTCGATAATTGTCCCCAGATCAGAAACCTGTTTCATAAGAGTAATATTTCTTTCTGGTCCCACATACATGTATTTTTGAATAACAAATTTAACCCTTAAATAACAAAATATTTTGTTGTTAGGAAGCGCAAATGCCAAAACCAAGGATGAAAAACATTTCTTTTATAATATTTTCTGACGTAAATATTTCTGTCTTTCCATTTAGATAGTGATAATTCGTCTATGAGAGATTCCATAATGTCCAAACTAAAAAACGAAATATTTTACCTGTGCATTGCAAACTACTCTTAATCTTAAACCAAATCGGAAAAATATGTAACAAAATCTTGTTTTTAATTTCTTTTAAAATAAAAAAAACGTTCTTCTGCCAGACCAGTTTAGTCAGATCTTTCTTATTCGGGGAATTAGTTTCTAGTCTGAACAATCCTGTTTTAATCATTTCTTTTTTTATTTAAAAGATGAACATAAAGGGGGTGGAGCCTGACAGCCAACTGAGATGGTTGCATGTGGCTGGAGCTCCTCGGCAGAATAATCTATTTAAGCCTAATCCTCGACATAATCTTGTTGTTTATGACGAAAATTCTGCTGTGGCTCCTGTGGAGAACCCTGCCAAGTGACTGGCCTGAATCTAGCATGCATAACCCGTGGTAGACCTCTCTGTGGCTTGCAGAAATACTCGAGGCAAGGGAGGTGGCTGATCCCCTATCCTGGTTTGTAGCAAGCCTGCTTCTAGATCCTATTCCCCCCCCTGTTGAACTGGCGGGGGTTATCCTGGTACCCACTGGCGTCCTGACATGGTCACCCTGCCGAAACACCCAGCTCACCGGAGTTCTAGTGCAGAGGCCAAGCAGACAATATATCCACTCCACCAAGGCCTGCAAACATGGACACTTCCTAGCAATCACCCACACTCGTGAAACCACTCTTACAGGTGTTCGACCGGATTTGTGCATCGTTTTGGACAATGCTTTCTGAACAAGAGCTTACGTACACTCCTGCTTACCAAGCTACTGCTTGGCCTAAGCATCCCCCACATGTCTCCAGAGAAGCACGGCAGAGATGTCGCAAGAAGCTGCAGCAGCAAACGGCTGTACTCCATCATGTGCACAAGCACACTTGCTGCCTCATGTCCTGACGGTGTGAAATCAAGCTCCCTCACCATAACCAGCTGGATCTGAAAGCTTCACTCCTAGACAGCAGGATGTATATGACCGTGGGACCGTGGATATCCCAGACCTTTTTATTCCGGCATCGAGTGAGGAGGCCACGGGGTGGAGAGTCCGGGCTCAGTAATGAACTGTCTTAGCTAGCCTGGACTATATGTGGCATAGGTTGACTTACCAAAGCAGAACTCTCACTAGCTCAGGACACTATCATTGACACACTAGCGATCGCTGTTAGATTTTTTTATGTTATCCATACCCAATGGCTTCAAAGCATACCTGTTCTTGACCATTTATAAATGTGGTTTCCAATCTATCTTCTCATAACCACTTCCATATCTAGTTTATACACATGGCTTACACTCTTGACTTTTCTAAATATTCTAAACATGCACGTTTCTCTGTTTTAAATTCTTTTTTTAATTTTCTTTTAATATATGAGGCTACATTACACTGGAGTACATAGTTAAATGCATCGTTATTGCAAATGTGTTGTGAATATCTCCTCTGACTCCTATTCCTTTATTTTGTACTGTTTCCTCTCATGCCTCAATATAATATAGAATGACAAACTACACTTTTACCTTGTCTACAAAGTCAAATTAAGATTGTTAAAGGACCACTATAGGCACCCAGACCACTTCAGCTTAATGAAGTGGTCTGGGTGCTAGGTCCATATAAGGTTAACCCTGCCGGCTGTTTACTTATGGGTTAATCTAGCGTCTAGTGGCTGTCTCACTGACAGCCTCTTGAGGCGCTTCCGCGCTTGTGATTTTCACAGTGAGAAGATGCCAGCGTTCATAGGAAAGCATTGAGAATGCTTTCCTATGGACTGACTGAATGCGCACGCGGCTCTTGCCGCGCATGCGCATTCAGCCGATGACGTCGGAAGGAGGAGGAGAGTCCCCAGCGCCCGGCGCTGGAGAAAGGTAAGGGATTAACTCCTTCCTCCCACTTCAGCCCGGCGGGAGGAGGGCCATGAGGGTGGTGGGGGGAGGGGGGGGAGGATTTTTGTTTAAAGCAAATCAATCTCAGCGAAGATCCACCCCCACCACTCTTGCCATTGGATCATAATATATTGATTTAATTGCAGATATCATCCAGCCAGAGAAACCAAAAGTCTTGAAGACTTTAAACAGATATCCCCACCTGACTCTGTCAAAGGCCTTTTTTACATCCAGAGAGAGGGTCAAAAGGTGATCCCCACTACTCTCACCCCAGTCAAGTATATCAATCAAATGTCTACTGTTGAGACAAACTTGTCTATTGGGACGAAACCAATGGTCTTCATGAATTAAATTAGAAAATACTGTTTTTATCCTTTCTGCTAAAATTGTTGAAAATAATTTAGAATCTACGTTTATTAGAGAATCAATCTGTAATTCTTGATTTCCTGCAGATTTTTATATTTTTTCAGAATCTGTAATATATTTGCCTGCAATAATTCCTTCGTCCCTGAGCCCTTATCAATGATCACATTGAAAGAATGAATTATATAATAACTCAATACGTCTTTGAAGACATTATAAAATCTATTAGTCGGACCATCCGATCCAAGCATCATAAAATTAGCAAGTTTTTCAATAGCAATTTTAAATTCTAATTTAGGGCCATATTCAAAATGTTATTTTGCTCTTGAGAAATTCTGGGAAGATCTATATCTTTCAGATACTGTATAATCTGTCGTTCCCCCGGTTGATTTGGTATGTTATATAACTCATAATAATAGTCTCAAAAAATCTAAGCTATGCTTTCTGGGGTCCTATGTTTCATTTGAGCTTTTTCAATACAGCTTATTCTACTGTTTCCTATTCTCTGTTTTAATTTTTTTAACCATTTTGAAATTCTATTATTTTTGCAAAAGTAATCCATTCTCAGATTTTTGTTTATACGTTCGAGAGAGAGAGAGAGAGAGTGTGTGTGTATATATATATATTTTTAATTCAGTTAGATTATTTAACCCCTAATATAGCTAAGGGTACATAATACATCCCTAACTAAACAGGAATTTGAGACGGTAGTCAACATCACCTGTGATTTCATAAGGACACTATGTAGGACCCTAAACTATGCCTATGTCTAAGAAACCCTGAGCCTATTATAGCTGCAGGGTGTGTATTGTTGTTTTATTGTTAGATGTTTTGTGTGCTCTCCTGTCCTGCTGATGCTTGCTACCAACTAGGTGGATTTGACTGTGGAGCCTGTAGAGCACCACCTGGTGATAAGCCTGAGAGATGCAAGTGTCTTTATAAAGACAAGATTTATCACATTGCAGGCAGAGGTGCATACCTGTATACAAGAGCAGTATATGGGATAAAGTGCAGAACAGTGCAGGCTAGCCACTCAAATTAGGGGATCACTCCCAAATTCCAGAAAGACACAAGTAGACAGGTAGCATAGTTAAAAAACATATACCAGTGAGGTTTCCACAGCCACAAACGTGTGTGTATATACAGGTGATACTCGAAAAATTTGAATATCGTGCAAAAGTTCATTTATTTCAGTAATGCAACGTAAAAGGGGAAATTAATATATGAGATAGACGCATTACATGCATAGCAAGATAGTTCAAGCAGTGATTTGTCATAAGTGCGATGACATTGGCTTACATATGGCTCCAAATCCACAAACGCATTTCGTCTGAAGACTTTTTCAAGAGCTTTCTTCATAACTAAAATGCTCCATTCCTTTTATCAATGCTCCCAACTCTCTCTGTCTCTGCACTTTTTCTAGTGCCATGATATCTTTCTTTAGAACAGGTGCCCATAATTGCACAGCATATTCAAGATGTGGTCTTACCGGTGATTTATAAAGAGGCAAAATTATATTTTCAGCCCGTGACTGTATGCCCCCATTTATACGCGACAAAACCTTACACCTTAGCAACTGCAAATTGACATTGCATATTGCTGCCTAATTTATTGTCTATGACAATTCCCATATCCTTCTCATGTGTTGTTATCCTTACTTCACTACCATTTAGGGTGTAAGCTGCTTGTGCATTCTTTACTCCGAAGTGCATAACTTTGCTTTTCTCTACATTAAATTTCATCTGACATTTTAGTACCCGGTCCCCCAATCTATCTAAATCTCTCTGCAGCAAAACAATATCCTGCTCACATTTTATTACTTGACAAAGTTTTGAGTCATCTGCAAACACTAAAACTTAATGCCTATTTCAAGATCATTTATAAATATGTTAAATAGAAGCTGTCCCAAAACAGAACTCTGAGAGACACCACTTAACACTGTTGTCCAGCTTGAAAATCTACCATTAATGAAAACTCTACCCTTACTCTTTCCTTAAGCCAATGTTCTACCCAAGAACAAGAATATCCATCTAGACCAATTTCTTTTAGTTTGCACACTAACCTGTTGTGAGTAACCGTATCAAATGCATTGGCAAAAATCCAAGTAGATCACATCCACTGCAACACCCTGATCTATACTTCTACTTACTTCTTCTTAGAATACACTTGGGTTAGTTTGACATGACCTATGTTTCAGAAAACCATGCTGATTATTGCTAATAAAGTTGTTCCCAATGAATTCCTGAATATTATCCCTTAATAGCCCTTCAAATATTTTCCCAGTTACAGAAGTTAAGCCCACACGTCTATAATTTCCAGGCAAGGATTTTGAACCCTTTTAAAATACAGGAACATCTGCCTTCCTCCGGTACAATTCCTGAAACAAAAGAAAGATTAAATACAGAGGTTCACTTATTTCCCTACTTCGCTCCTTAAGTACTCATGGGTGAATATTGTCTGGCCCCCCGGAGCTCTATTTACATTATTTTCTTTAGCGGCTGTAGCACCTTGTTTTGATTTATGAATTTACGTTATCTGCAAGTTTTTTTTACAGTAATCATTTGCATACCTCTTGCCATAGGATCCTCATTAATATATACTGAAGAAAAAGTTATTTAAAATGTGTGCCCTTTCCCTGTCTTCATTAACTAACAGACCCATCTTTGTTTCCAGTGTACCTACACTTTAATTTTTGTAAAAAAAATTTTTTAGAATTGATGTACTTGAAAAAACATTAGGTGTTGGTTTTGCTTTCTTTGGCTATCAATTTCTCCTTTTCTGTTTAGCCACTTTAATTGCCTTTTGCAAGGATTATTGGCTTTTTTATGTCTTATATAGGATGCCTCTGATTTGTCCGATTTAAATGCCCTTTCCTTATCTTTAATCTATTCTCTACTAAGCCACATTGGTTTTAATGTTTCTTTTATGTTTAATACCCAATGGTACATACTGATAAATGTACCTTTCTAATATTTGTTTAAAGAGATTCCAGAATTCAGAGAAAAGCTACTAAGCTGGTTCATGGGTTCTAGAATAAAACTTACAAGGAAAAGTTAAAAGGATCTTAACATGTATTTTTATGTAATTCTTTTTACGTCTTTCTTTTAGAGGTATATTACAAGTTGTGTTATATGCATGTATAGTTTTTTTTTTTTATTTATTCTTTATTGTTGTTGTGCACAAATTAACAAACAGCCTCAGTATGCCACAACAGCGGTATTGAGGTATATAAAAATTAAATATGCAATACAAGATGTGACATTTGATATTTAGGCACAATTTTTTTTTTTTAAAGGATAAGCTATAGATAAGTCAGGCTAGTGAGTTCAAGAATAGTAGGCTAAGTTGAGCTGACAGTTTAGGTTATTTAGTTAGGACATAAGTAGTCAAACGTGGTATAAAACTTGCACATTAACTATAAGAACAGCGAGCGGAGTTTAACACGTGCTAGGCAAGTATAGGTTCATGTACCACATGCTCGTAGTGCCACGACAGCAGATACAAGCTCAACCACAACATATATGTTGAATTACAAGCATGGCAATAGAAAAGTCATGTATAATGATATATTGCATCAGCGGGCGGTAGGTGTCCGCAGATCTTAAAACTTTATATAAGGAATAAAAGGTTATATGCATATATATATGTAAAAACAAGAAAATTATAGAAAATTATAGAACATGGCAGCATTGAAGGGAACAGCACTCCGACAGTTCCTTGATAACATTTATGGCGTTCCAGAACTGTCCCTGGTGTTAGGCAGGTGGCTCTTGGTCGGACTGCTCTGTTGTTTCGCTCTCCCCATGGCCTTTTTCTCATGTGTTGCTTCCTCTCGGTTTGTCTCTTCTGGCGTGTTGGCGGCTGGTCGGCCCAGTTTGTTAAAGAGAGTCTCTGGGTTATCTGAAGAAGTTAAGGTGAATGTTTCTGTGCCTTGTGTGACGGCCAGAGAGCCATCCGTATTCCATTGATATCTGATAGAGCAGTCCCGCAGCCTCCTAGCCACTGGGGCCAGCTGTCTTCTTTCCGCCAGGATGGCAAATGGGAGGTCACTGTAGATGGAGAGGTTATGGCCCTCAAAACTCACTTGGCCCATAGATCTGGATTTAGTCATAATAGCGGTCCTCACCGCAATGTCCTTGGTTGTCACAATGACATCTCTCGGTGCGTCTGCTGGTGCCGCTGCGGATTTGCGTATTCGGAAGGCGGCCAGGATGCAAGGGGTGCCTGTGGGGCTATGAACGCCCATTGAGGTAAACAGCTTTTGAACATATTGCAGTGTGTGTCCCCCCTCAACCTGTTCAGGTAGACCTCTCAGACGCACATTCCGACGCCTGTGTCTGGACTCCAGTGTGAGCACCATTTTGCTTATTTGTTTAACTTGTGAGGTGAGATCCTCCACATGTTGTGTAGTGGTCTGGAGCTGAGTGTCTCTGGCTTGTTCTCTGCTCTCCATTGCAGACATCTCATGCTGCAGGGCCTTGACATCAGTTTGTGTTTCCTGGAGGTCGGACTTCCACATTGTTCTCAGATCTAGGAGCAGTTTTTTAATATCTCCCTTTGTGGCGGGGGATGAGTCCTCATCTGAGTTAGTTCGCTGGTACACTCCAGCTGGGTGAGGAGAGATGATATATTCCTCCTCTTCAGGAGAGTCATCTTGCTCACTGTATTGCTCAGCTGCCGCCCTTGTGGGTGTTTGCTGGGGTGCTCTCCCAAAGGATAGTCTAATATCCTGCACTGCAGGCCTGTCTGTCTGGAACTGTCTTTTATGCTTGCGCCCCATATCTTCTGTGGGTATGTGTATGATACCGGGATCTCCCTCTCCGGCAGGGGGGGGGGGAGGCAAGTCTCTGGTGGGGTCTACTGTGGGAGCTGAGTCACCCTGTACCTTAGCAGGGGGAATGGCCACTTCCCGCCTACCCGCATGTGGTAGGCCCCAACTCGTGCTGCAGACCCGAGTGTTGGAGCTAGCGCTGCTGTTGCTGTTCCAGGCAGTCTCCGGGTGACTCCCCCGCTGCACGTGGTTGGACCGGTTACGAAACAGTTTGGTCAAAGCGGTGTTTACTCCAAAATCGTCGCGGTGTAGCCGGAGCTCCAGTAAGTTGCGACCGCTCGGCTCCGCCCCCGCATGTATAGTTTTATATGATTATCAAGTGATCTAAGATGACAATCACATGACCATGATTCACTTTACCAGGGAGTTTAAAATGATATATCCTGTTTAAGGACTAGAACAGTGATGGCGAACCTATGGCATGCCAGGCCCTCTCTGTGGGCACAAGGCCTTAGGTCGCCGGGAACGGGGGCAGCTGGCAGTCTGCAGAGTAGGCACCTGCCTGCCCGAAATGGCAGGCGCCTACTCTGCTTCCGGGTCGGGAGGCAGGGGGAGGGCTCTAGGAAGCAGCTCTCCTATCCTCCTTCGAGCAAGCTCTGTGGAGCGTTGGCGCGCATTACCATGGCAACGCTCCACACAGCATCGCGCAGGAGTGTAGGAGAGCTGCTTCCTACAATACTTACCACCACCGGACCACCAGGGATGGCTGTGTCCACCCGCCTTCACCAAAGGTAAGAGGAAGGGAGGGGGGATACAGAATTAATATAACTTTTTTTTAAATGTATCTTTACCCCTACCCCCCCCTACACAGCAACCATTTTGTATGCATGCTGTGTCACAGCCAGAAGATGTATGGCTACAGCTGCATACACAGAATCAAAAATGATTTAGCTCCTGAATGGCAATGAATTGAGTAGTGAGATTTCATAGGCATGATCTATACACAAAAACTGCTTCATTAAGCTAAATTTGTTTTGGTGACTATAGTATAGTGTCCCTTTAAGTGCTTCCATTTCTTTTTTGTTTCTCATTAAATGTTAATCAATCTGATATTTCATTTTTAACGTGAAATATTTAAAAGAAATTCACCTTTGAATGTCCTTATTTTGAAGGGAATCTCATCTGGCAAAGGTATCGGAAGCAGATTGTGGCCAAGAAGCTCTGCCACTGTTTGGACTTTAATGTAATACTATTGGAACTTAAAGGACCACTATAGTGCCAGGAAAACACTCATTTTCCTGGCACTATAGTGCCCTGAGGGTTCCCCCACCCTCAGGGTCCCCTTGCCGCCGGGCTGGATGGCAAAGAAAGGGGTTAAACTTACCTTTTTTCCAGCGCCGGTCGGGAGCTCTCCGCCTCCAATCCTCCTCTTCAGCTGAATGCACATGCACGGACCGAGCTGCACGCGCATTCAGCCAGTCTCATAGGAAAGCATGCATAATGCTTTCCTATGGACGCTGGCGTCTTCTCACTGTGAAAATCAGACGCATGAGACAGCCACTACTAGAGGCTTTAGAGGCTGGATTAACCAATTTATAAACATAGCAGTTTCAGAGTTAATCCTAGAGGGACCTGGCACCCAGACCACTTTATTCAGCTGAAGTGGTCTGGGTGCCTAGAGTGGTCCTTTAAGCAAGCACAATTTTAGAATTATACTGGTCAAATGAGCAACCTTAACTCAGCATATTTGTGCCCTCCAAAATGTAGACATTACACATGCATGTTAGAAAGGCATGAGTATACATACATTGTGGTCAATAGCATGGAGTGTCACTTTAACTATTGCTTATTATAAACCAATAATAAAAGCAAACAGCAGCCAGGGAGTGAACTAGTTGTAATTAGCTAAACACAATTCTGAATGAGAAAATAAAATTCAAAATGCAGTTAAAATGTTTTATCTCACTTTGAGGTTGCTTTACAAAAAAATACACTGAGAATACAATGTCTAGAGTTGAAGGTAAATTAAAACAGGACATATTATGGTGCGATGGTAATGTACTAAAAATTCACTCTTAAAAAGTCCAATTCCTGATTAAAGAATTACAAAGCGTAAAAAGATGTATATATTTATATCAAATCTACACATTAAAAAAAAAAAATATTTACAATAAACTGTAATCTTTCAGATCATTTTAAAAATGAAGAATGAGTTTAAATTGGTGAGAAAGATAAGAAAGTTTTAGTCCATGTCACGTGGTACACTTTTGAAATTCAAAAGTGATTAAAGGAACACTCCCACCCCAATAACTTCAGCAAAATGAGTGCAGGGTCTGGACACCCTTTTACAGTTAGTGTTTACACTGTTTTATAATGGTTTAACCTTAAAAGTAATCCTCATGGTGCCTGTCCTCTCTCCGGTTGCCACAGTATCAGGATGGCTTGCTGGGCAGCTAGTGACAGTGCATACAATTACTTTCAAGTGGCAGCCAGTGAAAGACTGACACAAGCAGCCTATCACAGGCCAACTGGCAGCTCCTCATGATCATTGCAGTAGCCTGAATGGTTACGAGGACAGGTGCAAGAGGGAAAAAACCCCAAAACTATGGCCTTAAAGCACTGAAAAACCCTTGAATTGAAGATGGCATCTCCTGCCCTCATATCACTGAGACAAAGTCATTATGGTGGAGGGAGTATTTCTTCAAATGTTAAATTTTCAGCATTCATGGGACATTTTTTAAAATAGGTATAGACTATGATTAGTCTAAGCCAGGAATTGTGGAGGAATGATAACTACAAACGGTTTTGCAGACTGTTAAGAAAAAATGTATTGTGCAATGGAACCAAAAGAAATGTGAGAAATATAAAGTTTTTTAGTCAAATTATAAAAAAAAAAAAATAATTCCATCTGTCCTCTATAGAACCACTAAGCATTTAAACATATAGATGAGTGTGTGTTTAGTGAGAGTGCACATACAGAGCAAGTGTTTTAACAACAGTTTCACTAATTTACTCCGCCCCAAAAATAAAAAAAAAAAGCACATTTTAACCATGAGTGTTAGGTGCATGAATAAATTAATTTAGCCCATGCCACACTCATGCATTCACACGATTAGGTCTGTAAATGGTTTCTTTTTAATTACTCTTGTTATCGCATTTGTTTTAGTTCTTGGAACACATTTCATATTCATAGAATATGTAAACTGGAACCTCTAGTTTTAGTGCAGCAGTTTTAGTTTTTATCAATAATTCCCTTCATAGACCTGCTCTTCATACATTTGTTATTATTGTAATTATCATGGTAGTAGACTCAACATAGCATTAACTCATAGCTCAAATACTACATGTTGAATACCAATCCAAGGGAGCTAAACACGTTTTCAGAATTATATTTTATGCCTTTTTCATTATTTAAGGAACAGTTAATTTAAAAAAAAAAATCAATTAAAAAAAATAAATAAAAAAAATAAAATAAAAATCGAAGTTTGCATACGTTCATTGTTCCACCTCTTTTCTTGATGCTGAACACTCAGTTTTTATAGATGGCTTAAATTGGTTGTCTCCTGCTTTCAGTGACTAACCCAGCTGTTACAGTGAATGTACTGCTAGCTCTCCGCACACTACATCAGGTATCCTGCCTTCCAGGCTCTGTCATCATAAAATTAAATGATATTCTGGCAGTGCTGCTCACTAGTCAGGTGTTTTTAGTTTGTGTTTCCAACCTTACATCCCATCCCCCCCTCTCCTCTCAAAAAACAAAAAATCCACGAACTATAACCCATAATATCTAATAAAACAAAAAGTTACTATACAATGGAAATTCAGAAGAAAATAATACATTTTTGATTACTACTATAAAGATTATTTAAAACTAAAATTACACAGATTATGATAAAGGAAGCAACAAAATGTTTGTTTTAGAATCTTATCTCCATTGCACCTAGCAAATGTGTCTTTAAATAAGGGAAATCTAGTCATACAAATGAATATAATAAAGTTCATTACAGCAAGGTAAGGTCAAAGATGTATCAGACTTTAGAACAGTGTAATAGATTTAAACACAAGTTAAATGGCAACTAAATTACACACATCAGTCTACCTGCAAACAAGAATACCTTGAAAACTGTTGTAATTACTCACTGAAAATGGTACCAATCCATATACTAGATAAGGGATCTTTAACTCCTGGCCTTGAGGTCCTCACACAGCCCATGTTTCACTTATTTATATTAAAAAATTTGATATCAAAAAACAAAGGTCTGTGTGCTGCATGGAGTGAATTACCCCAGTATTAGAGGACTAAAGTCCCTTTCTAGTGTTCACATGCACAAGCGTACATTCAAACCATAAGTGTAACATTATATTATAAAAACTCACAGAAATCAAATTATACATATAAAAAAATAATCTGTCACTATAGCTGTACATGTGTGCAGGTTTCTATACACTGTATAAAAACCCAAGAAATCATAGAGTGTGTGTATGTGTGTGTCTGCGTGCGCGTAAATGCTTTTTAGGTTCCTCCACTGAATGTTTCAGGTTACAACAGTAAGTGAGGTGTTCTTCATCGGTGTTTAAACATACAATGGGAGAGGAACATGACCATTATCAAGAGGAAATTTAAGGGTACAAAAGCTTCACTTTAATCACTGTAATTTTTCACTTCCTGCCTACAATCCAGTCGGCGAAGAACAGACATGGTATATACAATCAGGCAGGAAATGGGCCAGGAGCCCTGTTTCTTTTAGAAACCAATAAAATGAATATGACTGATCATTCAAAGTGTCCCGGAACCCCTTTATCCTGCAACTGGTTTAAGTCTATCAAATAAGCAAAGAAGGAGTGGGCTTTTTTCCAGGCCATGCTTCCTTGGCATACTTCTTTTTCTTGGGTTCATTAACAGCTTCTGTAGTGAAGCTGGATGGTGTAGGAGCAACTGTAATTGGTACAGCAGTAGGAGTAGTTGGGGTAAGATCCACCTCAGGGGCCAAGTTGGGAAAAGGCATGCCCCCAATAAGGGCAGTAGCATGGCTACCTGCTGTCTGTGCTCCTGCCTCAGCATTGGTAGGTGGTAGGCCACCATAAAGACCTGCAGAAAATGGGAAGTTTTGAACACGCCGTCCCACAGAATCTTCAAGGCTGAGGGATCCAGGGTTATCAGACTTCTTTTTCTGTTGAAGACAAAGCATTTCAGAAGTGAAGGGGTGGTAAGGGGTATTTATAGAGTAGAGAAAGGAAGGGGGAAAATTGGGAAACATACCTTTACAGGAACAACAGCTGTCTGCACCATATTCCTAAAACGTCCAACTGAGGGATCTACATCCTCTGCAGATAAAGGAGAAAAAAACCGAACATGTTATTTTATGTTTCAGACTTACTCTTAAAAACAACCAAAGAGTTTGATAAATACAAATCCAAGTTTTGATATGGGAAAGGCCACAAGGCATTCATTCAAGAAAAAGGCTACCTGTAAACCTAACAGGGAAATAATAGGGCTGATTTAGAAAATTCTTATTTAACGGTGTTTATCCCAGACAAAGTAAATCATTAGTTTTCAATTTTTTTTGTGTAAAGAATAATTCTGGATACCGTTCCAAAAGTAGAGTAGTCACTATTGAACCAGTGGAATGCTCCTACTGATTGATACACTTTCAGAACTTTGCACCAGTAATAAACCCCTTTCAAGCAGGAGTTTATAGGAAATTTAGTTCAGCACTTCTTTCATCAGTAAAATAAATTAGGCTGTTACCTAAGATGATAGCAACTGACCTATGTTAACAACAACATTCAGAGCTTTGAGAAAGGAACTATAAAAAGCAAACGCAGTTCCAGGTAGTGGGAATTTCTACAATACGCCCAAATTTAACAGTTAGAGTAAGAAGTAAAGCTTCCTCCTACAACATGTCACTGAAGATGTGGATTTACAGATAGTGTGATTTTTGCAAACTGATTCAGTTAAATAATGGTTTCCAGAGAGACACGGAACCACGATGGACCATAATGCAAACAAAGCGCAAATGTTATAATGCTTGGAGTTTTCCCTTCAACTTCTTTCTTGTCAGAGACTCTTAGTATCTCTATAGCCTGGTAAACCTTTTCCTCAAATAATACAAGTATACCGAATCCAAAATGAAACAAAACTTAGAGATGAGATTAACCCGTTTGTCAAAGTACATAAATCACATAAATAAATCAAAAGTACACTTAAGTAAACACAGGAATTCCTACTCACCTGGGTTGATAACTTCATCTTCTTCGTTGAATGTTACCCGGGAATTCCTCCTCTTCCTTTTTGGTCTCTGAATATCAAGGTTTCCCTCTTCAATGGTGAGCGTGGATATTCTCTTGTTGTGTGCAGTGTTGAACTCTGTCAGATTCTGCAAATCGATGCATACTTGCTTAAATCATGACCTTTCAAAAACTTTGCTTTACACTACCTTTGACTGTTCAACTGCATATAGATGCAATCTATATTGGGTGTAAAAACCCAAGGGCAGAGTACAGAATATTTGATACAGTCCTGACCTTAACATCTGAGGAAAGGGATTTAGGGGTAATTATTTCAGATGACCTAAAGGTAGGCACACAATGTAATAGAGCAGCAGGAAATGCTAGTAGAATGCTTGGTTGTATAGGGAGAGGGAAGTGTTCATGCCATTGAACAGAACACTGGTGGAGTCCTCACCTGTAGTACTGTACCTATCCCCAAAAGGATATTGATACTTTAGAGATAGTTCATAGAAAGGCTACTAAACTGGTTCATGGATTGCAGGGTAAAAGGAATTTAACATGTATAGCTTGGAGGAAAGACGAGACCAGGGGGATATTATAGAAACATTTAAATACATAGGGAATCAACACAGTAAAGAGGTAGAGTATATTAACCCCTTAAGACCAGAGGGCGTACTATTACGCCCTATTTTAGGCGGCTCTAAATGCCACCGGGCGTAATAGTACGCCTTCCAGTCTTTCTTTACTTACCCAGTCGCCGGCGATCGCGGTTGGGGGGACTCCCAGGGAGCCCACGTGGCACATCCGACCCCCTGGAACCCCCCCGGCCATGTGAGAGTGAGGTCCTTGCGAGGACCTCACAATCACATGGCCGGGATAGCTGGTTTATGTGTTTGGAGTGTTCTTTTAAAATAAGATTTGACTGGTTTTGGCTAAATATATATCCAACAAGAATATTGCTTTTAGTTATTTTGAAAATCATTTGGAAATGTGGTTTTCTAAAACACTGAAATCATTAACTTTCAAGAAACATTAGATCATAATCTCACTACATTTCCTTACAAGAAAGAAACAGAAAAAAACAAAACATTTTGGCTGAAGATGGTTGAGTTTTTCTGTGCCCAAAAATATAGTAGTTCAATGTCATTATGGTACTGATACAAGTATGGTTCCAAATCTTGATATTAACCCCTTAAAGAACACAACTTCTAGAATAAAAGAGAATCATGACGGAATATTTCCGTCATGTGTCCTTAAGGGGTTAAGAGTTAATAAACATGGGTTTGGACCTACAGTAGTGTAGCAAAACACCAAAGGCATCTAAAACAGTTTTACAAAAAAGTTAATAAGCAAGTCACACAGGGCATCATTCAGAGGCTAATTCCCAAAGGACCATTCTAGTCACTCTCAGTCACATTGTGAATGAGAAAAGGATAATAAATAAATGCTGCATGCTAGCTAGACAGTATTGACAAACAAACATTTTCTATAGCTCTTTTCTGCCAAGTTAATTGCACTTACATCAAGCTCTGTTTCCTCTTCTGGAAGGCCCAACAGTCCTTTTAACTCTTCGTCATCTCCTGCTTTATCATCACCTTTCAAGGCAGAGGGGAGAGTTTGAGGTTTTTCTCTAAGAGTATACATTCGTGTGGAGGCTCCAAATGAAACTGTGGAGTCTATAGGGATTTGTTGTGGCTTGTGGGGTTCTAAACGGATATGACCCAGAAATGTTCCATGCGCTGGGGGGGAGGAGGAAAAGGGAAACAATGATTAATCAATTATTTGTACAAAAGTGCAAACAATAAAATAGATAAAATGTAAGAAATTTAGAGATACGTTTGACACTTAAAAACAATGTTGCCCTCAATAGTACCTATGAATCCAAATACTGGACAGAAAAATGGCACATCCATATTATTTATTTATATATAATACAGATTAAGTAACAGTGCACACATGATACGGCTTTCAATTTTGTATGGCTACTTAAAAAATCACCTATCTCAGCAAACAAATATGATGATTTAGTTCCCCCCATATGGCCATATTGTTTTAAGCCCACCACTACTTCCCAACAACCCAATATCGGTGGGTCCTAAACTAAATCCAACATGGGTGACAAATTAAACAGTGCTAAATGAGCTAAACTGTATTTAAATAATCTGTTCTAAGAGCATTGTGTGGGAAAAAAAATTATTATACACACACACACACACACACGAGAATTCTGAGCACAGCTACATCCCTTTCACCACTAACACATTTTACCATTTAATTACATATTTGTTGTAATAAAGGTTTTCTTTGCCTACATTCTTTTACTTTATGTGGCTTCTGGTCTGAATACGCTGCCTTGGACAAAGATGGATATCGTTATATAAACCGGAGAGTGGTCAGATACATGTCCATACTAAGACTGCTCATTTATCTTGAGTTGGTTTTCTTCCTCCCATATTTAACATATATGGTGCATTTTTTTATCTGCTTAAGAGATTTACGACATACTTTAAAAGAAAGTGATGTAAAGTAAAAAGGGAGTGGTAGCTAGAATATCATCTGCATGGCTTAATCAAAAAGCATTCCACTAAATAATGCACCAATTAATTGACTTTATCCAGCATTAAAGATTGGTTCATGCCTAATGACTCATGAGTGCCATTATAACCAACAGTGTGAAAATATAGGAAAGGGAGAATGAGCCAAATGGGTTATTGAATAGTTATGAAGATATGAGATACAAAAGGGGGAGGGTTAACATAACAAATATTCAGAAAAGGAGAGTTACCTAAGAATGTACCCTGACTGCAAATTTAATGTGAATAATGAAGATTGCAAGGAAAACTGTCCTTAAAGTAGCAAGCAAATATTTTTTTTTTTTTATTTGACTTACTAATTTAACGTGTGTGTGTGTGTGTGTGTGTGTGTGTGTGTGTCAATATCACAGTTCTGTGCACAAGCCTCTGAAGTAGAATATGGTGAACCTCTCCTTGCAAAATAAAAATATTGACATAAAAGGAACTTACTGCTGTTCAGATCTATGAGAAACACTCTTTTCAGGTGCTTGTGGTAAACCAAGGCTGTATGAACCCTGGAACATGACTGATGATCAATGGTGAAGTCGCACATATCTGGATTCCTCCCAAACAGGTAGTATTTCTTCTCATCGATAATTAGCTTCTATTTAAAATAAAGCATACATTTTTATTAACTGTGCATTATAACTAGCAAACACCTTTGCATATGTTTGACTGCAAGCAGTTCTTGAAACAAAGTCTTAACCTAGCCAAGTCTGAATACAAAAATTGTATTCTATACTTAACGATATTTTCTTTTCCTGGATACAGGCTATGATGGCACTACAGATAGGTACAGCTCCTCCCACTCCTAAATTGGACTAGAACATCTAACTAAACAATAAAAGACTCCATCCCCTACAACCTCAGTCTTAGTCCACAGTCACAAACAAAAAGACAAAGTAAGGGTGGGAGTGTAGGGCTGCCATGGCCTATATCCAGGAAAATAAAATATCGGTAAGTATGAAATACATTTTCTGTTTTCCTGGATATATCCATGGAAGCACTACTGGTGGGTAATACCCAAGCGAAAGACATAAGCGCCCCCCCCCCAAAAAAAACCCAAGAAATAAAAGAAAAAAAAATACAATGTATTAGAAACTCAATTACAATGCATATGAAAAGACAATCCTGCCAAACAGCTAGAAAATCTAGCCACATCCAAATGGTAATGATTGATAAAGGTGTTAAATAAGTGCCAAGTTACCACTGAACAAATGCAGTCAGGAGAAACATTAGCTGCTGCCCAGGAAGAGGCCAAAGATCTCAAAGGATGGTATGGAATTCCAAAAATAGCCTTTGCTTAAAATTTTTCAAACCCATTCGTCAGTGATCAACTGGGCTCTTGTGAGTCATCATGTCCTGAGGCTTCCATGGGGAGAGAGTGTGAACTCCCCATGAGCCTCGCGGTACCATAGATCCAAATAAGCTACAAAAGAAAAGGAAGAGGTGCAACACAGCACGTGTCCACCTGAAAGGGATGGAGTCTCTTATTAGAGTAAGAAGTGTTCTTGTTCAATTTAGGAGGAATGGAGCTATACCCATCTGTAGTGCTTCCATGATTTTATCCAAAAAAGTAAAATATGTATATAATGTCATTGTATGTGTGTCAATAGATTCATGTATGTGGATTAAGAGTGCATGGTCTTATGTGAAGGTTTTATGCATGCCATATTTTCTATTCTTTCCCATGTCATTGGGAATGCATCATGGAAAGCAACATTTGGCACAGTGGGATCAGTGGCATGTTACTGCCCCTTTCTCCTAGTAGATGGCACCCTTCTACTTACGGCCACTTTTCCCTTCTATTTTGAATTTCATATGTTTGCAAGAGAGTAGAAGACTCATCGCTATTATCTAGCGTGAGCCACATGAACCTGGGCTTGCACTGCAGATAAGTACAATTCCAGCAAGGCTTATGCATTGGTAGTGCAGGATATTAACACACTACTGCAGCAAGCCATGGTGTAAGCAATACAAACCAAGCTCCATTGAGCTGCACTTAAAATCGTGATCTGGTTCTCTGTCTAGATGTCTTCAGACACCCAGACAGCTCCCTCCCATCTGATACAATGTGCTGCAATGCTGTCACAGGTATTCTAAGATGTTCTTGCCCTAACTTGAAGGGTTACTCCAAACACCATGAACTCTTCAGTTATTTAAAGTGCTCATGGTGCCTGCAGACTGTACCGGCTCGCTTTGAAGCTCTGCACATATGGAGTTTAACTCCTCTGCTGCCAGAAGTCCAACTCCACTTTTGGCAGCTGCATCATTAGCCAGACTGGAACTCTAGGCTAATGTCAATTCTGTGTATTTTCCTAATACAATTCGACAGAATTGTATTAATTGGCTGAGAACGGTCAGCTGATGCGCTCAGCCAATACATGGCCGGTGGGACTGACTACCAGCTCCTGTAGCTCAGTCCAGCAGGAACTCAGGTATGAGGGAAAAGTGAGACCAGGGTACACTTGCCATAATAACCACTAACGCGGATGGTAGTGGTTATGATGCTTGGAGTAATCTTTTAATGTCCACTCAACCTTTAAAAAAAATTTAGTTGTGTCAACGCACCAGATATTTAATGCAATAATATTGTTGTTTCCCTGTTCCATGTGTCAACTACGTATTCATGCATTCATTTTTTTTCCAGTGGTTAAGGGAGTGATCTGTGAAGGCGTTAATCAGTGAATCATTTTTCATGAAAAAAAAAACTTTGTACTCTGCAGTACTGTAACAAGCTGCTCTATGGGACTCACTACAGTTTTCCCTAAATGCTCAATATACTCCATGCATATTCCAAAATTGTAATGCAATTCCAAAAAAATATGTGGAAAACATCTCACTACTCATATTTGCTACTTTCTATTTAGAGAAGAAAAAAAGTAATACAAATGATTTTATTTATTCCATAAAAGCAGAATCCATACATATTATAACCCATACCCATTACCTTGATTGCAGTTATCACATGCCTAAATCTGTGCCACAAGTTATAACCCAGTGTGCAACTTCACACAATGAGCTTAAATGCTTATGACTTAATTAATATGGCACTTAAGAGACCCAGATACCATGGAATATGCACAAGTCTGAGTGCAAACTTGGGCATGCATATCTAGGTTAGTATCAAGTGCAGAGCGTCCTACTACTAACAGTATGTATTTTGCTTCATTACAGAGAGTTACAATGAATGTCAAGTGCAAAAGTAAATACACATGAACCCTTTAAAGAGACACTATAAGCACCAAAGCAATGTGTAACTTAAAGCAATTGTGGCATATAGATTATTCATGTGCAGTATCACTTCCTAATTCTCTGCCATTTAGATGTTAAATCAATTTGTTTTTGCAGCCTGTGTCACATCTTTTCTGGTTGTGACTCCATATAAAAAGTTGTTTTTTTAAAGCATTGTGTGTTTACAAGGTCTTACCTTCTGATCTGTTAACTGAACATTAACCCCTTCAGGACGTAACACGTAAACAAAAACTGGAATTTGCGATATATGTCTGTTCAACCGTAATTCACCGCTGTCACATTAAGTGCACCCACACTTATTATATATCATTTTGTTTAAGAGAAACAGGGCTTTAATTTATCATTAACTATTCATATATGGAACGTAATTTATTATAAATAAAATTTGAGAAAATAAGATTTTTTTTTTTTAATTTGTATTTCCATCTGACATTTTAGCTGTGAATGTCATAATAGTGTTAGGTTTTACAGCAAAAAAAGCACATATTTGTAATCAGCAATGTCTTTAGGTGTTTTGGAAAGTTACAGGGTCAAATATAGAACGTTCCATTTTCAAATTGAAATTTGCCAGATTAGTAATGTTACCTTTGAGACGGTGTGGTAGCCCAGGAATGAGAACTACCCCCATAATGGCATTCCATTTGAAAAAGTAGAAAACCCAAGGTATTGAAAGTGGGGTATGTTTAGTCTTTTTTAGTAGCCACTTAGTCACAAACACTGGCCAAAGTTAGCATTCCTATTTGTTTTTGTGTGGAAAAAAAGCAAAAAACTAATATTTGGCCAATGTTTGTGACTAAGTGGCTACTAAGAAAGACTGGACATACCCCACTTGCAATACCTTGGGTTGTCTACTTTTGCAAATGGTATGCCAACATGGGGGTAATTCTCATTCCTGGGCTACCATACGCTCTCAAAGGCAACATAACCAATCTGGCAAATTTCAATGTGAAAAAAATGAAATGCAAGCCTTATATGTGACTCTCTAACTTTCCAAAACACCATAAACCTGTACATGGGGGGTACTGTTATTCTCAGGAGACTTCACTAAACACAAATATTAGTGTTTTAAAACAGTAAAACATATTACTTAAATTCTACGTGTATACTAATGTAATCTTTTATGTAATTATATATATATATATATATATATATATATATATATATATATGCGGTTATTTGTATTTTATATACAGATATATATAGAATGTCATTCTAAGTGTATTTTGTTACATACACATATACACACACATATATATATATATATATATATATATATATATAACAAAATACAGTTAGAATGAAATTACATATGAATATATAATTTATATTAAATTTGTTTCAATATTTTATTTATTTTATTATTGTAATTATACATATATACATATATATGTAACGTCATTCTAAGTTTTTTTTAATACTAATATATGTACTTATATTAATATACATTGCGTGTGTGTAATATTTATTTTAAAACATGTCTAATAATATTTTTTTTTCATTTCCTACCAGCAGGAGGACTGTGACATTTCAGACAGTCCCCCTGCCGGCAAATCCACAGCCAGCTATAGGGGGCCTCATTTGCCGGGGGAGGGCTGCCTGGGCTGTCAGGCAGTCTTCCCGAAGCGGAGTGCCGGTAAGGTGAGTATACCGGGCGCTCCAGGGCTCAAAGCCGTTACGGCGTTCTATGCCGCCGCAACGGCTTTAAAGCGGGACGGCATAGAACGCCGTAACAGCGTTAAGGGGTTAAACATTAAAGGAGGGGGCTACATACTAAAGAGTTCTAATTCTCCAATTTCTGCAGTCTGGGTGTGAATAACCTCAAATTAAAGCTGAGAAACTGCATTTTAAGCACATATTCAGTATTTAACTGTAACTTGAATTTATTTTAGTTAACAGCCGAAATAAAACGTTTGCTAGTGTCCAAATATTTCCATTTCAGATGTAACTGTATATACCACAATCACTTCAATAAGCCAATGGTTTTTTGTTTGTTTTTTTGCTTACAGAGTGTTAGTTTAAACTGAAAGGTACATATTTTTCTCAATGGGTTGCCACTTATAGGCTGAGAGTGTCAGATGATGTTCTCAGCCTACCTCCAGAGCCCAAGTGAAAGCCTTCTGCATTGGAGCCTGGGTCAGAGGAGCCAATCGAATTGGTGTTAGGAAGACTCTGTTAAAAGACCCACTCTAGGCACCCAGACCACTCCAGCTTAATGAAGTGGTCTGGGTGCCAGATCCCTCTAGGATTAACCCTTTGTTTTTTTATAAACAGTTTCACAGAAACTGCTATGTTTATAATAGGGTTAATCTAGCCTCTAAAGCCTCTAGTGGCTGTCTCATTGACAGCCGCTAGAGGCTTTTGCGTGCTTCTCACTGTGAAAATCAGTGAGAAGACGCCAGCGTCCATAGGAAAGCATTATGAATGCTTTCCTATGAGACAGGCTGAATGCGCGCGCAGCTCCTGCCGCGCATGCGCATTCAGCCGAAGAGGAGGCGAGGAGGCAGAGAGCTCCGCCCGGCACTGGAGAAAAGGTAAGATTTAACCCTTTCCTCGCCATCCAGCCCAGCGGGAGGGGGACCTTGAGGGTGGGGGTACCCTCAGTGCACTATAGTGCCAGAAAAACCAAGTATGTTTTCCTGGCACTATAGTGGTCCTTTAACCCCTTAAGACCGGAAGGCGTACTATTACACCCTATTTTAGGCGGCTCTAAACACCACCGGGCGTAATAGTACGCCCTCCAGTCTTTCTTTACTTACCCGGTCGCCAGCGATCGCGGTTGGGGGGACTCCCAGGGAGCCCCCGCGGCACGTCCGACCCCCTGGAACCCTCCCCCGGCCATGTGAGAGTGAGGTCCTTGCGAGGACCTCACAATCACATGGCCGGGATAGCTGGCTGCAGCATTGCCAGCAGGGGGGCTGCCTGTAATGACAGGTGGTCCCCCTGTTGGATGGAAATAAAATTTAAAAAAAAGTTTAATAAGTGTAAAAATTTTATATATATATATATATATATATATATACACACACACACACATATATACACACACACACACACACAGAGTCTAGGTGTAATTTACTATTAATATATATATATATATATATATATATATATATATATATATATAATTATATATATTAATAACAAATTACACGTAGACTGATACTGATTAAATATATATATATATAAATAATATACAAAAATTAAATATGTAAATACGTTAAAAAATAAAATACGTTAAAAAATATATAGATGTGTGTTATTTCGTTCTAACTGTATTGTGATATTAATATATATATATTTATATCAAAATACACGTAGAACGAAATATATATATCTATATACATAAATATATATGTATATATCACTATATATAAAAATTATACACACACACACACACACACATATATATATATATACATACATACATACATACACACACACATATATATTAATTCTACATATATATTTATGTAATATTTTTACATAATTAGGTATCTTAATTAATTACAATTAGCGGGACCTGCCTGACAACCCATGCCGAAAGTAAAGGGAATTTAATTTGCTAGCACTACATTTAATCCTATAACTTTCCAAGACACCATAAAACCTGTACATGGGGGGTACTGTTCTACTCGGGAGACTTCACTGAACACAAATATTAGTGTTTCAACAGTAAAATGTATTACAACGATGATATAGCAAGTAAAAGTTACTTATTTTTTGCATTTTACACGCACAAACAGCACTTACACAGACAATATTATTGCTGCGATACTTTTTACTGTTTTGAAACACAAATATTTGTGTTCAGCGAAGTCTCCCGAGTACAACAGTACCCCTCATGTACAGGTTTTATGGTGTTTTCAAAAGTTACAGCGTCAAATATAAGGCTTGTGTTTCATTTTTTTCACATTAAAATTCGCCAGATTGGTTACGTTGCCTTTGAGACCCTATGGTAGCCCAAGAATGAAAATTACCCCTATGATGGCATACCATTTGCAATAGTAGACAACCCAAGGTATTGCAAACAGGGTATGTCCAGTCTTTTTTAGTAGCCACTTAGTCACAAACACTGGCCAAAATTGGCGTTTTTTGCATTTTTCACACACAAACAAATACTAACACTAACTTTGGCCAGTGTTTGTGACCAAATGGCTACTAAAAAAGACTGGACATACCCCATTTGCAATACCTTGGGTTGTCTACTATTGCAAATGATATGCCATTATGGGTGTAAATTTCTTTCCTGGGCTACTATAAAGTCCCAAAGGCAACGTAACCAATCTGGCGAATTTCAATTTCAAATGTAACGTGCTATATTTGACCCTGTAACTTCCCAAAACGCCATAAAATCTGTACATAGGGGGTACTGTTTTACACGTGAGAGTTTGCGGAATACAAATATGTGTATTTTATTGCAGTAAAAGCAAACAGTATTATGACATTGACCGTTAAAATGTCATGTAGAACTAAAAAATAAAAAAAAAATCTTATCTCCCAATTTTTCATATTAAACTATGTTTCATAGCTAAATATTTGATATTAAATGAAAGCCCTGTTTCCCCTAAATAAAATGATATATAATAAGGGTGGGTGTATTTAATATGAAAGAGGTGAATTACAGTTGGACAGACATGTAGCGCAAATGCCAGGTTTTGTTTACATTTTGTTTCGTTCACAACGTGTACATTTGGCTCCGTCCTTAAGGGGTTAAACCATTCAAAAACTTGTTAACCTCACAAGGTAACACGACGCCAAGAACCACCAGATACCAGAACAACTTAATTGAGAAAGTAGTTGTGAAGCCACGAATGGTCCTTCAAATTTGTTTTTATTTGCATTACTATTGTATTTTCTCTATAATTTTCTTTAAAGGATCACTAAAGGCACCCAGACCACTTCAGCTCAATGCACTATAGTGGTCCTTTAAGTAATCAAAAGCTATTTCAGATATGGCAAGTCATCAATTGTGTACTACTTGGTTTCGAGTAACACTTGCTGCATACAATTTATTAATTTAATGCATTTGCATACCACTATGACCCCACATTCACATCTACACTTGATCGCTTGACTTAATTTCTCAGGCACATAAAGGATTAACAACAATGTGAATGTATAATGTTTTCATACCTCTATAAGCTTGTCTCCTTTAACTACATCAAGATGTAGACCTGGAGGTGGCTTCCCTGCCCTATATGGGGAAAAATATTCAATTAGCCATGATCCAATACACAAAATATACCACAAGACAAATATTTTTAAAACCTGAACTTTATAATGTCCTTACCATTGCATTGGAAGTTAAAGCATTGTGGTGCGTTTAAGACAGGGCTTGACAAAACCCAAAGGTGCCAGGTCGCCTGGATTTGTCAGTCCTCATGCAGCTCTCTGTGTATCGGTAGGAAGTGAACAGAACTGTAATTAGTTCCTCCCGGCACTGAGGCCACGCAGGGAGTATACTAGGTAAAAATGGCTCTGCTTGCCATCCGCCCCCATTCCTCAGCGCCTGGAGGAAGTAATTACAGTTCCCTTCACTTCCTTCCGACGCATAGAGAGCTGCATGAGGATACAGAAATTGGAGTCTGGATCAGCGTCAGCCAGACCCACTGTCATCTGATGCTGCCTAGTCCCACTGGACCCTAGGGAAGCCACCCTCCTGCGCCCAAAAGGTAGGAAATAGGAGAGTGGCTAAAAAGATTAAATTTAAAAAAAATGTAATTTCTGTGTGCTTGTGCGTATCTGACTTTGTGTGTATATCTTTTGGAGTGTATCGTATACAGTAATTAAATTTTATTTTTAAATTATACTTTGTAAGTGTGTGAGAAAATGTGTGTGTCAGTGACTGTGCGTGTGCGCATGTCTGTCAGTGAATGTGTAATGTGCCTGCCAAGTACCAGCAAGGTACTTTTGTGCAAAATTTTAAAGGGACACTATAGACACCAAAACAGCTTTAACTTTGTTATGGACATGATAAATGTGTAACAGTTTAAGTCTATTTTTTATGTTCTTACAACCAAAACTCACACACTTGGTTATTTCTCACACAGTAGAGATTCCACTACTGTAAGCATTTAACACAGCCGCTATTGTTGAAACCTTTGAATTGCGCAAACTAATTCATACAAATTTGCAGCAAGATTAAAGGGACACTACAGGCACCCAGACCACTTCAGCTCATTGTCCCTGGTCCCTTAACCCTGAAAATGTAATTATTACAGTGTTTAATAAACTGCAATAATTACCTTTGACTGCTAACTGCACCTCAGGTGGCTGTTTACCAAACAGCCACTAGAGGACCTTCCGGGTCTTTTAGTCCTGTATGTGATTACTGAGCAGGAGATAAAACCTCTAAACTAAGTTAAAGGGCAACTATAACATAATGAAACAGTTCCGATGTATAGACCATGCCTCTAATCTCATTGCTAAATTCTATGCCATTTTGGAGTTTAAAACACTTTGTTTATGCAGCCCTAATCACACCTCCCTGCATCCGAGTTGCACACCTTCCTGAGAAAATGGGATCTAATGTTTACACATCCTTTATTGCAGAGTCTGTTTAATTTAAACTTTGTTTAATTGCACAGTTAACGTCTAGACCCTGAAGGAGCCTCCTGTGGGTGAAAAAAACTTTAATTTACAGAGCAAGAGATAATAAACATAAGTGTTTAACCAAAAATCACTTTGTACATGTTAAAACATTAACACTGAGGGGCCTCTGTCAAAGGTGAAAGAAATTAAGAGGATCTGTAGTAGTCCCAACCTTTCTCAAGTATAACATTGCAATTAAGGGACACTATGAGCACCCAGACCACTTTAGCTCATTGAAGTGTTTGGGTGCATGTCCCTTAACACTGCAATTGTAATTATTTCAGTTTTCGATCAACTGCAAAAAGTACTTTTGAGTGTTACCTCCCCCTCTAGTGGCTGTGACCAGAGAGCCACTAGACGTCCTCAAGCTATGCATGAGGACATCCAGCGTCACCCAAAACCCCATAGGAAAGTCCTACTGTGGCATTAGGTTCCCCCACTAGCTGACAACAGGGAAGGAGTGGAGGTGGAGCCTAGACCAGCGATGAGGGACATCGGCGCTGGAATCAGGTAAGTGACAGGAGATGGACACTATACCCATTGTACATGCTTTGTTGGTGCTTTATAAATAATAATAAAGGGAGCTATATTGCCAGACAAACAACTGTTTTCCTGGCACTATAGTTTCCCTTTAAGCATGTTTTTGGGAATAAAAAAAAAAGAAAAATAGGGGACAGGTCCAACTAGAGCAGTGGGGGGTGGGGTGTGTGAAGGTTGGGACATGCTAAGTTAAAAACAAATGTGATCCACTTTAAGACATAGAGTTTCATACTTCATTCGTTGCCTTATATCCTCTGTTGTTATTATTAGCATTTATATAGTGCCACACCACCTTACAATTATATAAATCGGGAATATAAAACATGTACTGACGTACAACCATTTGTACAGTTTTTCTCTTTTGCCAATAAAGATCATATCTATATAAAATAACAAAACACACAATAATTATTAATATACATGTGCTTTAAAAAAAAAAAAAAATGGTATGTCATAAAATTCCAGCTGACTAGTTTGTCTTGAGGAGCTTTGCCTTATATGGCTTGCAAAGTTCTTCAAATTCCACAATAGCAGTTTTTCAGATATTGATAAGCAGAGCTCAGCATGCCAAGTATCAGGATCAATGTGTTATTAATAGCTGACTTGAGAAGGGATTAATATAACTCCTGGCCAGCCCTGCCATGCAGCCAGTCACACCCACCAGCTATCACACACAGCATGATGATATAAGCTCCCCATCTTGTATTCTACATTATCTGTGTGTTTCTGTGTCTTCACCCATAACAGTCCGTCTCCCATAGACCCAACATGAAACACAGCCAATTAGCCATTTATCCCAGCCTGCCTGCCTCTCTGCCTGCCTAGCTGGCTAGAATATTGGCTCGCTCGCCACTCTCCATGCATTTCTCCAGACTGTATCCACACTGTTACATCAAGACTAGTGATACACAGAACAATATCCCCTTATCTATCAATATCGATGTCACAGCTCTCATACCAGTTAGGACACTCAAACCCATATTTGTTTGAGTTCGGATTCGCCGCCATCTTTGCTACAGATCCTGCTCCCTGGGCATTCTGGGAGAACGTTTAACGCTACATCCGGTTGATGCTACTGCGCATGCGCTCACGGTCGTTCTGGATTACAGGACCTTTAGCTGAAATGGTAATAGGAACGCAGAAACAGAGGTGAGTACGTCGACCATATCCGCCCCCACAAGGGGAAACCAGAGCGTGCAAGAAAGGTTCCGCGTGTGCTATTGCCTTTCCACAGCTCTGGCTGTACTGTGAGCAATGATTCATACAGTCTCGAATATTTTTTTTTTTTTTATAGTTATAAAATTAATAAATACAGCAAACTCAATGAGAAACATTCAGAAAAGTTAATTGAATAACATGAAACTTAATGAAGCCGAAGTTGGCTTCATATTTAATAAATTCTTTAATTCTTCAAATCAAAGCTATTGTACATTATATATTGTTTATATTTTTTGAAGGGGAACAATGATAGCAGTTTCCCATTTTATTAATATGAATATCATATTTAAAGACATGGTAAGTGCATTGAGTTGGTTGTGTTATTCATTAGTAACCAATGGTATCTCCTTACATTACAAATGGACAAAGAGGGACACTTTCATTTTAAGGGTGTGATTGGGGGTGTGGCCTGGGCTATTCTGAGACATTTTAGGTGACTTACTCATAATTATTTAAGCAATTTAGAACTTGAACAATGTATCTTATTTGCAAAGACTGATTTCTAAAGACATTAATTGTAGAATTAAAGACATATTACAGGAAGTATTATTGCTGTGAAGCTCTGTAGCGCTAGCAGGCTATTAACAGAGTAGGGTGTAAGAAAGTCTAAATTATATCTGTATTCCTAATGCCCCTTGTCATTTGTCAAAAAAACAAAACAGAATAACACACCTTTTACCCATCGCAGTCTCCTTGGGCACTGCTATGACTTGCTCGAGTTATACTGGAGGCCAATCGATGCTACTCATATAGGATGCACCTACGATTCCTTCATTGTATTCAATGATTCTCTATGGCTGACCATGACGGCACTAGGCATGCGTGTGTGACATCACAGTATGAGAGCCGGGAAGTAATATTCCCGGCTCTCATATCCAGAGGTCTTAGTGGTGTGGCTTGACGCTGCACTTCCAAGCCTTCTATTTAATTTAATATAGGGCTCGAGCAGTGGAACTTGATGATCAGCACTGAAGGCATTATAACAACTTCAACAAGATGATGTATACACCAAAACCACTTCACTAAGCTAAAATTGTTTTGGCGCTTAGATTGTCTCTTTAATGTCCCCAATAAGGTGGTTTTGTTGTATAGATCATATCCCTACATCCTCACTGCTCAATCCTATTATCTCCTGTGATCTCACATTCCTATTTCATAACATATGAGAGATCCTTCCAGCCTTAGAGGTTAGAGAGGGATACAAAATAGAAATCAAACTTTTAACATATGACTCCTGCAGACAAATGAACTCAAAATGTAATGGGTCTCTGGTGGCTGCAGTGTGAATTTTAGCAATGTGGGCAACAACTCCATAACTGAACATATCTTAAAAAGTCAGATGGTGTGAATACATCCCTGGATTTCAAGGTTTCAAAAGAGATTACTAACTCCTTCTCAAAAAGATTCATACACCTTTGTAGATCCACATCATCCAAGCTGGCAAAGCAAGATGGGATTACCCCAGGTTTGGGAGTCTCTATTCCTCAAAAATGGTGTCAACAGAGAAATGGCTGATGTCAATTTACATTTTATAGCGTACTTATCCCAAATCACCATGGAATTGTTAGTAGCTGAACAGTGAGTGCACAGGAATGGTTGAGACATTTTTTTGTAGCCAAATAAATATTGGAGAAGTTCAGCAGGAAAAAAGTGTCTTAGAACATAGGAGGAGATTTAGAGAATTATTTACATTAGGTGTGTACAAATCCAGAAATGACACATAAAACCAGCTTGTATGTAAGAGAAATTGCACACAATTGGACAGTGGGTTTCGAATGTGTTGCACACATAGTTGCTCTAGATGTCTGTGTATCAGAATGATCAACTTGAGGCAGAGCACAGATTAAAAACTCCTCCCAAAATGATCAGAACCTCTGCAAGGCCTTCATGAGTCTCTAGCAGAGAAGCCCAAAACTCCCTATCTAGGGATTTGGAAACATATATACATCCCAGTGTGTATGGAGTAGAAGCAAATCTACCTTTTACCAAGATATATTGTCCCTGGGCTTCACTAGTCTGATTCTGAAAAACATAGTTTTTGTGCATCACAGTAGAAACCCCATTCTTTTTTGGGAGAATGCAAAAGGAGAAAAACTTAGAGTAAAAACCATCGTTTATGTGAGAAGTGGAATTTTTAGAGATATGTGTCTTGATCTAAACATAAGAAACCTCTTTTTTGGAGCCCCTTAGTGTGGAGGGACACAATTTTAATTGAAGAAACCATTGGGGAGAACTACTGGAGAGCAATTTAAAAAGCGAATGGTCTCCACTCAGCCCTTGAGAAGACCCCTATCCACCCAGAGAGGAAACAGATAAAGGAGAAGAAGCTAAGAAGAGGTAGGAAAGAAAACAAGGGATAATAATTCCAGATCTAAAGCTTGTTTATACATAGAACACATGAACATGGGCAAGCAACATCAATCTGTTTTAGCTCGATGTGGCTACAAGAAAACTGAGAAAGAAAGAAGCCTAGGAAGTGACAAACCTTGGTCAAGCAATTCTCCCCCCCCTCCCCACCAAGCCTATATACATAAAACAATGTAATGAGAACTGTGCACAATGTATAGGGAAAAAGCATGGTAGATAACGATAGTAGAAGAGGTAAGTTTAAGATACCACTTGCAGCCATCTGTATAGTAGCAAATACTATACTGTTTAATAGAAAAATAATTTTGTGAGACCCAGCATGTTTGATGACAACATGGAACAAACTACCAAGTCTGCAAAGTGGCAGCAACTCTGGGGACTAGAAGCACAGAAACAAGGAGAGTCCCATTAAGTCCAGAGGTAGGGCACAGTCTGAGAAAGCAACAAACATATATGCTGCAGAAGGAAGGTGGGAAGAAATCCTGTCTTAGAACATAGGAGGAGCAATAGAGAGTTCTGTACATTAGATGTGTCCAAATCCTGGAATAGCCTATAAAACCAGGTTGTATATAAGAGAAATTGCACAACACTACAGTCGTCGTTTTCTAAGGTGAGGGCAGGGATGGTCCACCTTCTATCCTTGTGACAGATGGGAGGGGTTGTACAGAGCACCCCTTAACTACACTGTTACTCATTGTAAGGTAGTGAAGTATCATCGCAGCAGAGTGTGATGGTCTGCCTGTTCTTATGCTCTCTCCGAAACTGTAGCTCAGAGCATCACATGAGAGGAAGCAGCAGGGTATGAGATTCAGTCATAATTCCCACCGCTCTGGCCACACACACCAACTACTTGGAACTCTAGGGCTTTGTGGAGAAGACAAAGGCCCTCATCCTCTCCACCATATTACAATATCTGTATATAGTGGTATAGGAAGCCCCATTCTGGGTAGATTACATACAACAGAGGAAGTAAATGTGAGTTTGGAATGCAAGGGGCACCATTACAGATCATGAGTTCTGATCTGTGGCCAATGGTGCACCTCCATTAACTCATCCATCAAACTAGAGCTTCTGGTTCTCTGGTTAATGCGGTAGAGGTGGGGAGAAGCACCCAGCACACCCCAGGGAAAAAGTAAAACTGTTCTAAAGTTTCTTCCTTAAAATGGGGGCCTCATGTTATAATAATTATGGTATTTGACATGTTGTTTTCAAGAGGAACAGTCACTTCCCATGAGTTTTAATATTATGTATACGTATCCCTTTATTTAACAAATTAGGTTTGAAAAATAAAGTTAAAGGAACACTATAGTGTCAGGAATACAAAAATGTATAGGTATAAAACTTTTATTCCAGCGGATCTGGCTCCATCCCGATCCAGCTCCTTGGCGGAGATCATCAGACTCAATGCATCTCTATTAGGAATGTTCAGCATCGAAACGCTGAATGTCAGTTGTACACGTTGTGCAGCACTGACCCAGAAAACACTTGCAGCATAAGTGTGTGTGGCTTTCTACATTTAACCCCTTAAGGACACATGACATGTGTGACATGTCATGATTCCCTTTTATTCCAGAAGTTTGGTCCTTAAGGGGTTAAAGGGACAGTATAGTCACCAGGACAACCACAGCTTAATGTAGTTGTCCTGGTGAGTATAGTCAGTCCCTGTAGGCATGTTTATGTAAACACTGCCTTTTCAGAGTTTACATTGCTCCCTAGAGACACCTCCAGTGGCAGTCACTCAGACGGCCACTGGAGGTGTCTCTAGGGAGCAATGTAAACTCTGAAAAGGCAGTGTTTACATAATCATGCCTACAGGGACTGACTATACTCACCAGGACAACTACATTAAGCTGTGGTTGTCCTGGTGACTATACTGTCCCTTTAAATGTAGAAAGCCACACATACTTATGCTGCAAGTGGGAGCCATCAGTTCCATCCACTCATTGTTATAAGCTCTGCATATTGCAGGCAACATAAAGAAAGCATACAGAGAAGAGGAAAAAAAAATAAACAATGCTTATTTTATTTATAATTTTTCTCCTCTTTATTTGCAATTATTTTCAATTACTTCTTAAAGGAAGTGGCAAGGATTTTCCATAAACAGGAAGTCCTAGAAGAGCTTTCAAGGGGTCCCCTTATTGAAGCAATGTCAAAAAAGAGGAAAATGCTCATAATTCTACACATAGACTAGAAGGAAAGGTTAATAGCATTTGCAGAGCAGTGGGATTAGCAAGGCGGGGACAAAACAGTAGAGACGAGACAGGCAGAGCTGACAAATGCCGAGTGCAATTCCAGGAGAACTGAATCTATTACACCACGAAAGAGAGTTGGGGTCCTGTGGTCCCTAGCACCAGAAAGTGATAGGGAAGATCCAAAACAAGCATTGCACAATGTAACTGTAGCCAGCAGTAGCATTCCATTAGAACACCTCTCTAGGCTTCTGGAAAGCATACATTAACACATTATCATCAGGACATTGATCTGGAGATGGTTCCTTTATTTAGCCATAAGAGCTTCCACTTTTATGAAAGCTTTCCACAGATTTTGTAATATTGGTACAGGAATTTTCTGCTAATCAAAACTTATGTTGGATAATTAAGCCTGGCTTATGCTTATTGTTCCAGATGATCTAAATGGTATTTTATTGGTCAACATAATAAAACAAGTGAAGTTCTGTTACACACTCCCCCTTGAAATACTCCATATGGACAGTTTGCTTGCTACAATTCAGCAGTTCATAAATGGTTATTTCAACAAATTTTGCCTTTATATTTTGCTGCAGTTTGGCTTTTTGGTGAAGTCAGTCAAATGCCTATAGAACAGAGCGGATTCATCTATTCAAACAGCATTGTTGCAGTTGATTCCCTTAATCAATTTAGTCCAATCCCCAGAAACAATACAGGAGAATTGCACTCATAACTGAAAGCCCTGCTTAACGCTACTCCCAACCTAATTGACATTAAAATAGTTCCAACCCTAAAATGCCCCCTTACCATACTCTTATTTAAGAAGCATATTTACTGTTTTTTATTGTAGTAATGAAATTCATCTGAATTTCGTAGTAATTTTTTTTTCTTTTTAATTCTCATGGCTGCAATGAGATCCTTTTGACTTTATTTAACATTCGACTTGTAATTAACTTTGCCAACTTTAAACAAGGGAACTGCATCACATATTGAGTGATTGATGTACACAAGTATTTTTTTAAATTTACTATAAAACAAGATAAAAACAAAAAAAACAAACATTGAAATCACAATTTAGTATTTTTTTTTTCCAGGATACACCCAATACATTGGTCACTAGTCATTTTACATAAACATATGCATAAACCAAGCATGTAAATCATTTCCTAATCATTTTAAAGCAAGCATGTTTCTGCAAAGGAAAATCTGAATATTCCTATGTTTTTGTGCAAGGTACTCTGAGGGATGTGTTCATCTGGTATTCTTAATAGTATTGGTTTATCTTGGGACTAATTCTCTTAGACCTCACATAGCTATTTGTGTCCTCACATCACCACAATACAGACCTCTCCTCATATTCAATCTGTTCATTATTATCAAAAGTCCTCAGCTGGGGTGGATACGGTGCCCAGTGTTCTTTTTGACTGTGAAATAGATCTCATTATTCCACCACTTCCAAACATTACACTGGCGCTATTTGCCAAGCTGATCATAGTCTCCTGACATTTGATAAATCCAAATTTGTCTTGTGCTTCACACTGTTAATTCTCAAAGTTTTTATCCCGGTTACCTATGGTTTCCTATATTTATTTTTAAATCAAAGACATTGCCCAGAAACGGCAGACAAGTTTTTGCTAACATAATCTTATGCTGCTACCATTGTTTTGTTAATTTATTGCCATCGAACGTGTGAATACTACACGATCAACAGATTCTTTTTTACGTTTAATATGATGTAATTTTATACAGCTTTGACTACTCAAACTGACAGTTCATATCTGATATATCTATATCTATCTCTCTCTTCTTTTTGATATTTTTTTTATTCTCATCCCGACCTATAATGCTTATTATAATTTTGAAAAAAACACTGCGTGTCTTTATAATTCCCTTCTAACTTGGAGCTATGTATCTTGGCATGCTTCTTGTATGCAGTTGGGGCACGACAAGCCTGTTTGTATGTGTATTCACTGCAATTTGTCTATAAGACACATTTGATATTGGATTCATCATCAGGCAGAAGCTACTAAGAGCAAACGGTCTTAAGACTGGGAATCCAGGTCACAACACCTCCCCAGTTAAGTGTCCTTGGGCAAGACACTAAATGATATATACCGGAATACCGCAAATCCTCAGACTGTAAACATGTTTGAGCAGGGCCTTTGTCTCTTCTAAATATCCCTATAATTCTAAAGTGTGGCAGAATACATTGGTACTATATAAAAACAGTAAGCTTTATACAACTTTAGATAGTCACTTGGAATTGTGCAGGTTTTGGTGCAGATTGTGAGCCATAGAAACACGTTTCAAAATGTATTCCAGCACTCAGTATTGCTGTGTACTTTTAAGAACATGTGTGACTTATTACATAAATATGATTTGTTGTTCATGGACATGGCAGCTTCAAACAAACAACTGAGAAACTAAACTGTTGGAAAGATGGTATCCTATGGCACTGACATGTTGACCTTGATTGTGCTCTACAGGAATGACTATTTTACTGCCAAAATGAACATTTAATTGCTTTGTGTTTTTCTGCACCTGTCAATCAATGGGTGTAGTTGGAGTGGACACAACTACAAAGAGGTGTCCACATCACTATCCATTTTTTCCCCCCCAGAACTTATCCATTTATCCCTCCCATCTCATCATTCAAACCAAGCATAGCCACATTTCCTCCACTGCAAAATAGTATTCATATTACACATAAAATAAAAATTAAAAAAAAGGCATTTCCTTTTTAACTGGTTTATTTTTCTCTCTTCCTATACACAACACAGACATGTGTTTATATAAATATCTATATAATTACTACAACTCCCTATGGCCTAAAACCTAGGACCAAGATTCACAACAGTTATCAAATCTGGGAGATACACATATGTATACAAGTATTCATGTGTGAATACACAACAGGAAGTCGGGAGGTAACCACTCAGTTTTTCATGGCCACCAAGGTAATAGTTATACATTTAAGTTATTCATAGTAAATAAGGTTAAACTGTATTATCCTGAAACTCTGGAAAAGCAGTGGCTCATTAGGATGCACATTTGCACTTCGGGTATACACAAATAACATAACATCTTATGATTAAAAATGCACTGATGTCTTCTACAAATAGAAAAGTTATTTTGCAGAGTTTTCACGTTATATATATGCAGATCAATATCTTGACCCCTGCCCGCCCCCACACACAAAAAAACCAAAAACAAAAAAAAGCTAAAAAAAAATAAATAAAAAAAAATGTGTATTGCAGCATTTTATATACAGGCAGTGTAGTGGGGCAGGCAAAGAATTACATTAGTGTTATCTTCTCTGTAAAGGTATTATATTTAAAGTGCAACTGGGCTGATATGCTGGCTGCAACAGCAAAGTGCTACCATGAGAGACCAAATGAGTGGGTTAAAAGATATAGATAATAGGTCAGTGACTAATAAATGTTATTGGTTGAAATCAAGAAAGAAGGGAAATAAACTATATATTAGTCAGCTGCATAGATAAATACATTTAAATTAATTCATTAATAGTTAAGTTTGCCCTTTAACCACGGTGTCAATAAAGTAGGGTTGCTATTAAAACTAATTTGATCCCTTTTCTGTGCCTTCATTTGGAAATACTGTATCAGCCTCTACTGGTTACACACAGTGGGTACTTCAGAGATATTTCTATTGAACGGCGAGAGACTAGTCATGTCATCCTGCTGCTTGGGTGAGAGGAAGGTCGGAGGTGCCCTCATGACTTCAAAGACAACCATATAATAAGACCCAAAAGTGCAGCTATGATAGCCAAAACAAGAATAATGATACACATCTTCTTCCGGGACTTTTTCTGGGGAGAAAAAATAAAAATAAATTATAGGCTTGGGTCACAATGACCAAAATATTATTTCACTATATGTAAATTAGAATTGAATCTTTAATCATGCATGTCTGCAGGCCAATTCATACTTTCAAACTTAAAGGAACACTTCCATTTGACTTGTAACTTGGGGTCCATTGGGCACTGCTTCTTGAGCTGGCCCTGCACTAAAGGGCTTAGCTTAGGAGAGTTACTGGAAGCCCCAAACCATGTGCTTTCAGCTCTCATATGGAAGAGGAGAGACAGGGAGCAGTCACTGGTGGACCTCCAGTAAGAAATTAAACCGTTCCAAAGTGCTCTGACTACTTACATGGTGAAGTGTTTTAAACGTATGGAGTGTTTTTAGGTCTAAATAAAAGCAACTGATGGAAACATGTGGAGTAGATATAATTAGACTTTTATGCACAACAAAATTTAAGTCAAATATAAATGAAACAAACAATACACTTTTCGAGAGTCAAAAATGGGTCGCAAGAGAATACTGAGAACGGGCAGCAGCTGAAATAGCCTGCCCTTCGGTCGGTCCCCGCTCAGTTCTCAAGCTGATCTGAAACATTGACTGGCCCCACCCATACGGGCAATCCAGATCCGAAATGCCAGCAAGTTCCCTCTGCACGAGAGACATAGCAACCTCAGACGATCGTTTCAGCCTTGTTAGGCATCATCAGTGAGGCATAGCTGATCTCTCCCTAGGCACCGTGAGCAAGGGGTCCACGTCTGGATTATCCCTTTAAACTTGTGGAGAGTCAAAAATGGGTCGCAAGAGAATACTGAGAACGGGCAGCAGCTGAAATAGCCTGCCCTTCGGTTGGTCCCCGCTCAGTTCTCAAGCTGATTTTTGCTCATCAGCACACTTTTCATATGCACACACCTAAATGAAGTGTACAATGCCCTTATTTTTGTATTTATTTTTGAAACCACTGTTTTTACCTGGTAGTATGCTGCACTCTGCAGCTGCTCTGTTCCTCGTTCTACATGAACCTCTGCACTTTCAACATTAGCTTCTATGCTGTCTGCAGAAGAAATTAGAAATCTTAGAGTCCCAACAGGAAATGCATATACAAAGAGTAGTCAGCAATAAAAGGATGGGTAGGAAAAAAAAAAAAAAATTTTTTTATAAAATTCATATAGAGGAGGATAAACATGGAAAAAAAAATTCAAAGGGAGACTAGAGTCACCAGAACCACTACAGCTCAATGTATAGGTTCTGGTGTCTACGGCATGGTCCCTACAGCCTTTGCATTGTAAAAGGCAGTGTTTACATGGTTGGATAGTTACACATCTAATGGCAGTCACTCAGGAGTGTACAGCAATGGCATTAAGCATCCCTGCGCTCTGCATGGGAGATTAATTTCTGTGAGGAAATGCTGATTGGTGCAGTGTTTTGCCAAAAAGATACTCCATGGGATGACGTTTATTGTGGTCTTTGATCTGGCACCAGGCTTAGACCATAAAACATCTAGATAGCCATCACCAGAGCTAGACACAAGGAACTGCAGAGTGGGCAATAAACTGCCAGACCAACCCCCTCTGATCCCCCCCTCAGGGGTCTGCCCACTGAGCAACAACTAGTTTAGATATATTAATGAGGGTGCTGGACTATCGAGTTCAGTTATTTATTTTTCTTTTGTCAGCAACTTCTATGAGACCTATACCATCTAACACTCCCACAAGAATTCTATATGGGGTAACTACATGTAAGGAATTTCTTGTGTTTTCTCCTATTTTATGTACTGTTTTGCAATTTGTTATCTGTATGTCATTTATTTCTGTATTTTGTACTCAGCACTGTGAATCCTTTTTGTCAGATTAAATGTTTACTTTATCAGCTTGTGTCTGTTCTCTATGAGCTTCACTCTCCAGAGGAAAGCTCAGGTAAACACGTTACCAAAAAGGGTTAACTATATATGTTTTATCAGTAAAAGAACTGTGATACTATAATTCTCCTGTGTGTGTGGGGTAACCTAAGACGCCCGGGTTTAAAAGTCTTGGTGGTGGCAGTAAAGTGTGTACTAAGGGGGTTAGTGTAGAAGGGATTGCAGGGGTTTATTGAGTGGTTGCTGGGACTAGCAACAGGTAACCAGGGGTCTGGTGTCATTAACCCTGTCACTTCCACACTCAAAAATAAAATAAAAAAAATTTACCCATGAAAGACATATTAAAGACCTTCAGACTACCATAGGGCTATCAGAAGGTTTCCTTGTCCAATATTACAAGCCACTTAATAGCTGGAAAGTATCATGAGCCGTGACATTTCTGAACTTAGCAAACAGTGTAAAAAGGAAATAATGAACGTACCTATCATCTCTCCTTGGTCATGAATCATGACTGCTAGATCCTTGAAAATCTGATTCACGTCAAGAATATCTGCCTGTCAGGAAAACAAGTAAAATGAGAAATACATTTATTTTTTTTAAAGTGTTGCACAAAGACCATAGTGAATATTGTAAGCACTCTGATACAGTAAGCAATAAGCCTTTTAGTAAATACTGCAAGGCAAGTTTTTGCACAAGAACAATTTTTACATAACTTTCCCCATAAGTGCCTGTTTGTCTTTACCATACGATAAATGAACCGGTAACTAAAATTATTAAATGACCACTATAGGCACCCAGAGAAACTGCTATGTTTACAAATGGGTTAATCCAGCCTAATACAGCTGCTAGAGGCGCTTCTTACTGTGATTGAATAATGTTTTCCTATGGACTGACTGAATGCGCGCGCAACTCTTGCTGCGCATGCGCATTCAGTGGATGACGTCGGAAGAGGGAGGAGAGTCCCCAGCGCCGAAGAAAGGTAAGAATTGAATCTCTTCCTCCCCCTTTAGCCCAGCAGGAGGATGGCCCAGAGGGTGGAGGTGACCCAAAGACCATATAGGGCCAGGAAAATTAGTTTGTTTTCCTGCACTATAGTGGTCCTTTAATGTAACACAACAGTGCCAGGAATACAAGCATGTATTTATGACACTATAGTTCTAACATAACAGTTTAGCCCCGTCCCCTTGTCCCTAGTTAAAAGGTGATTTTGCTAACCTTTTTGCAGCACTGGATTGGGTGAGATCATCAAGTTTGATGTCAGCCATGGGGATGAAGATAGCTGCAGTGAAACCCACAGGGAGTCTCCTCGCAGCTGGCTCCAACTCTTTGGCTGACACCAAACTTTATGATTTCCGCCAATCCAGTGCTTTCCCACAGAGAATCATAGGGAGGCAACTGTGCATGCGCAGCAAAATGGCACGCTGCACCAATCAGCAACTCCTCATAGAGATTCGTTGAATCAATGCATCTCTATTGTTTAGTGTCTCTATTGTTTAGTGTCTCCATGCAGAGTATAGAGATGCTAAAGGTCAGTGCTGCACAGTGTGCAGCACTGACCCACGAAGCACCTCTAGTGACAGTCTGAGTGACTGCACCTGGAGGTGTCCCTAGGGAGAAAAGTAAAAGGCAGTCTGAAAATAGCGTTTACATGAAAATGGCTGTAGGGGTAGACTACATACACCAGAACAACATTAGGCTGTAGTTGTTCTGAGGTCTGTAGTGTCCATTTAATTTTCCATGAGTATACGGTTGCATATTGTGTAGCAACAATAGTGCCATGAGCCAAGCACCTTTTATAGAGGCTACACTACTTGAAATTGTGACTTTAAAATGTACCAATAACCACACGAATGTTGTGACACATCACAACCACTTTCACCACTCCTGTTTCATCCCTGATCAGTGTCATTTTAATCTTTGTGATTACAGTTTTGACTGACCATGTTCACATTGCAATAGTATCAGCCATCCACACTGAGCGAGCAAGAGCATTAACAGACCCAACTTCTACTGAGCAAATAGAACATGCATGCCTGCTATGCAAAGCTGATGTCATTACTTTGTCTGCCTGTGTGTTCATAGTGCAGAATGATCCTGAAGAATAGAGAAGGATAAACATGAAAAAAAAAAAAAAATCAAAGGGAGACTAAAGTCACCAGAACCACTAGAGTAATCACATGGCCCCTGGGGGTCTTAAATTGGAGATGCGGGACTCTCTGGGCTCAGTCGGGGACGATCACTTGGGTCCCCGGCAGTGTAGGGGGGTATTCTACGATGCCTCGATATCGAGGCATCGTGTAATACAATAAGAGCAGCTGGAGATCGCTTCCAGCGCTCAAAATAGCCGCGGACGTACCATGTACGTCCGAGGTCCTTAAGGGCCGTTTTTTGTTGGACATACCTGGGGTTAAAATAAGTTTTGGCCACTTTCACATTTTGTCTGCTGTTTTTGTTCAGAGAAAAGGCAGAGTTTACCTTAATGTCTAGTAACACCTCTACTGGCAGTCAATCAGACGGCCACTAGAGGCGCTTCTGGGTTAGTGCTGCACGGACATTCAGAGTTTCCATGCTCTGCATGAAGGCGCTGAAAGTTCCTCATAGAAATGTATTGCTTCAATAAATCTCTATGAGGAGATGCTGATTGGCGCATTGCAGTATTTAGCCATGCATGCACAATAGTCTACTGGCTGAAATCATCAAGTTTGATGATCTCACCAAACAGGGCGGGGCCAGCCAAGACAGACCCACATGTGAGTAATATCACCTTTCACTTAGCCAACAGGGTGTCAGGCCACCTAAACATCGCTTTCATAGCTGTAGTGACAAATACATTTTTGTTTACCTGTCACTATAATGTTCTGTTTAGTAGAAAGTATGGAAAATCCTTAATAATTTAACTACTACAGGGGTGGCCAAATAGCAGATCCTCAGAATTTGCAGAACTGCAACCATGATGCTTTGCTATTCTAAAGTCTGGTAAAGCATCAGGATAGTTGTAGTTTCAAAGCTATCTTGTGCCCAGCCCTGTAATACAAGATAAGGAATCTTGATATTTTTCAGGGTTAGCAAAACAGTATCCTTGCAATAAAAAATAAATAAAAATAAATAAATAAAAAGAAAAGAAACGTAAATAAAAAAAATAAAATATTAAAAACCTGCGCAAAAACATATTGTATCCTAAGCATCACTAATGGCAATTTTACCAGATTGCTTTCATGACACATCAAAGCATATTATCCACACCAACCCACAACCTGAAAAGGTCCATGATAACAGTGTTCCCCAAATCTGAATTACTAACAAAGAAGAAACATTTCTACAAGTCATTGGCATGGGGTATTTCAGCCCTGGTTGCTTTCTGTGGCTGCTAGGGAATCTGGCAGCTACAAGCTTTCAGAATAGCTAGACCTCCTTGGATCCCGACTTCCAGTATCCACTTTCCTCCACAAACCAGACACACTGTGACTAGTGTGATATATACACATCAACATGCTAGGAACTGTCAGATGTTGAGCAAATCACTAGGGGGCATATGCGGTTGTAGCCTTCTCCATTTCCATTCACAGTGGTCACTTTACAGTGTCAAGTAACTTTTAGCACTGGCTAGTAGCTTAGAACTTAAACTTTTAAGCCCATTTTTGGTTAAAAAAAAAAAAAAAAAAGACCCAAATTTAGCTTGGCACCTGGTAAAAAGTGATGCATAGTAAGCTTTTTATGAGCATTTGACTGGGGCATAACTATATATATGAAACAAACCAATGGACACCCCTACTAGAACATTATGGAGCACAAATTTGGTCAAGGGAGTAAAAACCACCTAACAGTAGATGGGCATGTAGCAGTGTGGGTAACACTACAAAAAGTTCCATTCATCTTTTAACACCCCACAGTTACACAAGTCATACAAAAGCAGAGGAATGTCCTTACCTCTAGTTTTTCTATGGCACTCTCCCTTTCTTTTATAAGTTCAAGATCCTGTTCTGTTATTTCAATATCTTCCTCTTGGCTCTGCATTTGGTTCCAATCATCGTTGCTTTAAAAAATAAAAATAAAAAAAAAAATATATAAAAAAATAAAACCACAACAACAACTTTGTTTCAGGTGTCTATGGACTTGTATACTGAAGAAAAAAAAATAAACTAAAAAATAAAAATAAAATAAAAGGATACACATTTTTATCTACATACAGAGCCAGCATTCCCTAGAAGAATTAGGAGGTGGGTAAATCTTGTAATATTTAGTGGCAAAAACTCATACAGTACTGTATATGGAAACATACCAGATTATTTGCTGCATTTTAAATGGCCACATACTGAAAGGAGTTAAAACCAACCAATCAGTGCAGTGTGGAGCCAATTCAGTCATTGACCTTAAGATTTAATAAGGTCTAGATTTTACAAACTAGGCATCCGAAAGAGCCCGAATCTGTTCTGCAGAGCAAAAAACGGGGCGCAAGAGAATACTGAGAACAGGCAGCAGCTGAAATAGCCTGCCCTTCGGTGGGTCTCCACTCATTTCTCAAGCTTGTTTTAGCTCATCTTGTGCCATTACAGAGAGAACCTCTCTGAAACATAGACTGGTCCCACCCATACGGGCAGTCCAGATCCGAAATGCCAGCAAGTTCCCTCTGCACGAGAGACACAGCAACCCCAGACTATAGTTTCAGCCTTGTTAGGCATCAGTGAGGCATAGCTGATATCTCTTTAGGCAATGTGAGCAAGGGGTCCACATCTGGTTGCAAGAGTATTCTGAGAATACTGCTGTTTTTTGGCTCTCAAATCTGTTCTGCACTGCAACCGGACCAAAATCTGTCTGGTGCTTAAAATCAAAAGGCCCAGACTTTAAAAATCCACATTAACAAATTTTAATAAAACAAAACAAAACCAACACTTTCAACCCAAGCAGACAGCAGGCAAATAACACTTACAAATGTGTATTCCTGTAGAGTTAAAACCATTTAGCCCCTCCCCCCTTTTAATGAGTAATAACTCACCTTCTTCCAGCATCACTTAGGGCTCCTCGCATCTGGCTCTGCCCTCTTGGCTGACATCAAAACAGATGATTTCAGCCAATCACAATGTTTTTCCATAGGAAGCATTGGATTGGCTGAGATTGTCAATTCTGATGATTTGACCCAACTAGGCAGACCGGGATGGGGAAGGCAGAGCCAATCGCCACCCTGGCCAATCAGCAATTTAATCAATGCATCTCTCTGTGGGGAAAGTTTAGAGTCTCATGTAGAGCGTGGAGACACTGAACATCAGTGCTGCACACTGTGCACGTAATTTGTTGAAAATGGCAGAATTCGGACTGAACTGGCAATTGTAATTTAACTAAAGCCAATTCAATTTGGAATTTTTTCAACCTGACAGAATGCCTTTTTCATAACAATCCTAAAGAAACGAGTGGGATTTGGACATTTACAAAGCACCGGTTTTAATGAAAACCCAGACTGAAAACATCCATTCATCTGCAAATTATCATTCGCTTGTAATAAAAACTTAATGTATACACTCCCTGAAGTTCAGTGATTCCACAATAATAGAGGGTGGGGGGGAAGGGGGCTATAAATACACACATTTTATTTTTTCTAGGTAAATTAAATTCACATAGTTCTGTATCTGTACAGGGCTAGCGCTGCAAAACCCAGACATTGTGAAATGGTGTGAACAATGTCGGAATAGCCCCATATGTCTATACTACAGCTATACAAGTATTAACTCCATAATACAGTGTTTGTGGCCATGAGCAAACATGGATACCCAGAGGGCATCCAACAAAGATTTCAGTAATGACAAATTTAATCATTAGCTAGTGATTTTGAGAACATAGGATATAGACTGAATTGTATCCTTTATCCTGGTATACATGCATTTGTGGACAACAGTTTTAAAATAGGAGACTTTATCTTCCACATATCAAACTTACTTGTCAAATGAAACAAGCTGTTCTTCTTTCTGCTTTTCATCATTCTAAACATAAAAAGTTATTTAAACATCAGAAGGATAACATGTACATACATAAAGTGTCTTGTACATAACACAGACTTCAAATAAACTGGCAGAATACACATAAGTATTCACATAAGGAACATCACAACAATTTCAGAGTTTGGTGTCTCATACCGATAAACGTGAGCCAGCTCTGGCACGGGCAACAGTCTCCTTCTCTTTTTGAGAGACCTGTCTCTGGGTAGCTTGGAAGTGGTTGAGTGCAGCAGAGAAATCATTCATAAGACGCTCCTTCTGGAGCTTCTGCTGCCGCTGAGGAGGTAGAAAGCAGAGAGGATAGCTAATTCACAAAGCAAACAAATAAGTTACAGGCAGCACAGTCACACACCATTCCTAAAGAATTAATGGAAAGGGTACCTCTGAACTATGGGTAATGAATGCCTTTAACCCATGTAAACCCAACAGGCAGTTGTTGTGGAAAGTTAACAAACACACACACACACACACCACAGTTGGTCCCCCCCCCCCACTCTTTTTGTTTTTATTTAGCACACATACTTTCTTAAATGGGACACATGATGTATTTATACCATGATACTTTGGTTTGAAACATCCATAAAATAAAGCATGTTTTTTTTTTATGTGATGTTGGCTTAGATTCACTTTCACATGGCATGTATGGTACCACTATTCCAATGGTTTCTACCATTAAAGTAAAAAAGCTAAAATAATGAAAACATTCCTGTAAGTATAAATTCCTCTCTGTACCTTACATAACTATAGGTTAATTCCAGACACTGATAGATCACTCTGCATCCTCTATAACCAGAAAAAAAAAAGTGTCTTGGGAGAAAATGTGAAATGCAAAGCTTAAAATAGGCACTCAATTACTACTGGCAATTATTATAAAGGAAGTAGTGTGCTTGGGATTAAAGGAACATTATAGCCAGCGACACCACTTCATTTCAAGGAAGTGGTCTGGGTACCATGTACCATCCATTTCTATGGGAAAGCAGTGCATTGGCTGAGACTGATTTTGATGATCTCAGCCAAAGAGGCAGAGCAGCACACTGGAGACCCTTGCTGCAAGTGAGAAAAGTTAAGTTAAATCACTGTTTTAACAGAGGCAATAGAGGCCAGGTCACCTAAACAGTGACTTCAGCATTATAGTGCTAGGTATACACATTTGTATTCCTACTGCTCAAGTCTCCTTTTATAAGGCTAATTATGTGAATAACCACATAAGTATATCTTCATAATACCACATTACTTCCTTTGTGATTATGTAATCAGTTCAGCATGATTTTGCATGAATAAGCTGAATTAGCTGAAGCTGAAATTGCTATGTCTCTCACAGACCAGTTGATGGTCTCTAGCACAGTCCAATCATTCTTTTATTACCTTCCCATGGAAATCATGTGCTAGTCAGTCATTCATCTTCACGCAAGCTTTAACCAAAAGAGCATGTCAGAGATATTCTATTTAACTGCTCATGTGTGGTCAATTTAAAAGGAAATCTTATTAGCAATGAGACAAGCTCCTTGAAAAGGCCAAATGGGATGTGATGTACACAATGGGAGTAATGTTTAGGACCATATTCCAACAAGTAAAAGAAAAATACACTCATGTGTCTCTTCAGTGTGACATTCAGGTAGCTTTATTCCATAGCAGTTGGTACAAAGTGTAAATAGCACCCCAATTAATGTGTCAGTCCACGGAGAGCACTTTTTAAGTAAGAGTTTTACAATTGAAATTACATTTTTTTTTTAATGTAGTTGCTTTGAAGCATAAATTAACAAGCAGGTTTTATTTGTGTGTGTGTGTATATATATATATATATATAATTTCACAAAGAAAACAATTTTGTTTTCTTAATTCAGCAAACCCCCTCCTTTATCTTTTCTTAATTTTACATTTATTCTTTTCATAGAACTCTTCCTTTCTAACGGACTATGAAGTAATTCAGTGATATAATTGAAAGGCCAGCGTGGTAAGTTACCTGCTCAACTGGGGATAGTGGGGTAGGAACAGAAGCAAGGTCCTTCAAATATGTGTTGGTCTCCTTGGCCAAGACATTAGTGGAATGTTGAATCTGCTGCCTACATAGGATGTAACACAGACGTTCATTCAGAGGAGGAAAATGTGAGTTAAGTAGTTAAAGTGATGAGAGTGTTCAGTGAGGGTTTGTAGCATTGACGGAAATAGAATGAAAAGATATGTGTTAGGTACAAAAAACAAAATGAAGGAATATTATTGCATTAAAACATCTTACAGGTTCTGCTGGAGTTTAGTGGAATCTTTGCTGGTTCCAAGTTGATTTAATAAGCTCTGGATCTGAGCAGCTTTAAATGGAGAAGAGAAAAAAAAACAAAAAACAAAAAAAACAAAACACACAATTAGAGAGTGAACAAAAAGTAAAAATACATTTCACCCAACACACTATTATTCTTAATTCTAAGCAACATGCATTCTTTTAACGGAAACAAATTTGGAAAACTGAGAAAAAAAAAAAAATGCCATATTAAGAAATGCTTTCCTATAGGCGTTTTTAATGCGCATTTGGCTCCACTCAGGAGCTGACGTCGGAGGTGGAGGAGAGGTCACCAGCGCAGAGGGAGCCCGGTGCTGGATAAAGGTAAGTGGCTGAAGGGGTTTTAACCCCTTCAGCCCAGCGGGAGGTGGGCCCTGAGGGTGACGGGACCCTAAGGATTATATATAGTGTCAGGAAAACAGGTTTGTTTTCCCGAGACTATAGTGGTCCTTTAACCCCTTAAGGACTGGACTGTTTTTGCGATGTTGTACATTTGCGACCAGGAATATTTTTACACTTTTGTGGTGTTTGTGTTTGGCTGTAATTTTCCGCTTTCTCATTTACGGTTCCCATTCAAATTATATATTGTTTTTTTCAGGACAAAAGGGGCTTTCTTTACATACCATTATTTATATAATCTCATGTATTTTAATTTAAAAAAAATAAAAAAATATGATGAAAAATTGAAAAAAAATACATGTTTTTGACTTTTACTTGAAAAATCTTTTACTCATCTACAAAAGCGAATGAAAAAAACTGCTAAATAGATTCAAAATTTTGTCCTGAGTTTAAAAATACCTAATGTTTACGTGCTTTTTTGCTTTTTTTTGCATGTTATAGGGCTATAGGTACAAGTAGGATATTGCGGTTTCAAAACATACATTTTAAAAATTTATCAATAGTGACATTGTAACACTATTATCTGTCATAAATCTCTGAATAACACCCCACATGTACATATTTTTTTTAAAGTAGACAACCCAGGGTATTCAATATGGGGTATGTCCAGTCTTTTTTAGTAGCCACTTAGTCGAAAACACTGGCCAAAGTAAGCATTCATATTTGTTTGTGTGTGAAAAAAGTAAAAAAACTAAATTGAACGCTAATTTTGGCCAGTGTTTGTGACCAAGTGGTTACTAAAAAAGACTGGACATACCCCATTTGCAATACCTTGGGTTGTCTTCTTTGCAAATGGTATGCCATCATGGGGGTAATTCTCATTCCTGGGCTACCATACGCTCTCAAAGGCAACGTAACCAACCTGGCCATTTTCAATGTAAAAATATGTGACCCATATATTTGACCTTGTAACTTTCAAAAATGCTATAAAACCTGTACATGGGGGGTACTGTTTTACTCGGGAGACATCGCTGAACACAAATATTAGTGTTTAAAAACTGGAAAACGTATCACAACAATTATATCATCAGTAAAAGTGCTGTTTGTGTGTGAAAAATGCAAAAAAAGTCACTTTCACTGACAATATCATCGCTGTGATATGTTTTACTGTTGTGAATCACTAATATTTGTGTTCAGCGAAGTCTCCCGAGTAAAACAGTACCCCCCATGTACAGGTTTTAGGGTGTCGTAGAACGTTACAGGGTAAAATACAGTGCTAGCAAATTAAATTCTCTGGAATTTCGGCCTGGGTTGGCAGGCAGGTCCCTCAAATTGCAATCAATAAAATTACTGAATTATGTAAAAATATTACATAAATACGCACGTAGAATTTAAATATATATGCATATTTATATATTTGAAGTCTACGTGTATATTTATATAATTATTTATGTAATTTTGTATATGGACGTATGTATATTTCTTATTATTTTTATTTATTTTTATATACATAGATATATATACAAATTCATTCTAAGTGTATTTTGATATAAATATATATATATTAATTTTAAAATACAGTTAGAATAAAATTTCATATAGCTATATAATTTTTTTAAAATTTTTTATTATTATTTTAAAAAAAATTTATTTAATTTAAATTACTTATTATTTATATTTTATAATAATATATATATACACAATATATATAGTTATTATATATATTATATATATACGTGTGTAATTTAATTATAAGTGTATTTTTATATTAATATAAGTACATATTAATATAAAATACACTTAGTATGACATTATATATATGATATATAGACATATATTATATAGATATAATATATGTCTATATATCATATATACACATATATAATTATTATTTTTTTTTTTTAATTAACACTAACTTTATTTTTTTTTTCTGATTTTACACAAGCAGGGAGACTGCCTGTCAGCACAGACAGTCCCCCTGCAGGCAGACACTAGGACACCTATTGTGACCATGTGATCGCTGTGTTAAGCGATCACATGGCCACAGGGGTCCTAATCTGCCGTGGGGAAACTGTCTGGGCTGCAGGCAGTCTCCCCACAACCGGAGGAACACTGATCGCCGCCGGGGGAACGACGGCGATCAGGTAAGTACCCCCAGACCGTTAGGACGGTTCAGGACCGTCATCGGTCGGCAAGGCAAAAATGCCGATGACGGTCCTGAACCGTCCTCGGTCCTTAAGGGGTTAAAGATTTATTCCTTTCCAAATAACTCATAGAAATCTTTCTTTTGGATTTCTTGCTAATTCTAGTCTGTCTGCATATATAAATGGGTTTCTGGTATTATGAGGGAAATTATTAATTTCTATGGCTCTTGTTTATCACTAATTGTTAAAGGCTTAAACTTGCCTCACACACGTTGTGGCTTTAAAAGAAGCTTTACAGACCAGACTGCACGTGACCATGACAGTGACACAATTACATAGGCATGTAAGTTCAGCCACCCGCACATCTGTTTTTGTTGTTGATCCAAAAGAAGTGCTTTCTATTTTTTTTTAACAAACTTTTTTTTGACCCTAGAAAGGCATTGGGATCTCTCCTTGGATCAAAAAGTACCGTATATATATTTAAGTGTAAGCCAAGTTTTTTCGGCACTTTTTTTCAGCTTATACTCGAGTCAGTCTATTGTAGCAACTTACATTGCCACAATACAGACCAGGACCGCCAGGCTCATTACAAGCCCGGCAGTCCTGTTGAGGGCTGGCAGCGAGCTGTTCCTTACCTTCCTGCAGCTCCTGTCAGCTCCCTTCTCCTCCGTGCAGCTCCTCTGTCAGCTCCATTCTGCTTACAATGTAAGTCTCGCGAGGAGGAGAAGGGAGCTGACAGGAGCTGCAGGAAGGTAAGTAACAGCTGAGGTGCAGTTTTATTTCTTTTTTTAGTTTTGTAGCCTTCCCTCTGCACATTTTAGTGTCATAATATCCTCCTTTAGAATAAGTGCCCAAAAGTGCACAGCATATTTAGGGCGTGGTCTTACCATTTTCATTTCAAGAATTAATGCCCCATTTTATACATGACAATACCTTACTGGCCTTAGCAACTGCTGGTTGACATTGCACATTGTTGCCTAGTTTGTGGTCTAGAAAAATTCCCAAATCCTTCTTGAGTGTTAGCCCTAATTCACTACTGCTTGGGGTGTAAGTTGTATGAACATTCTTTACCCCTGAAGTGCATAACTTTGCATTTACCTACATTAAACTTCATCTGCCATTTGAATGGTACCCTATGTCACAATGTTTTGTTTATGCAATGTATATCCATGAATACTTAATATATTTACCTTTTGCCTATTAAAGGTATGTTATTTACATTTTTTGTTTATCCCTACTCCCCTTTTTCTTTTTATACCCAAACTAAGAAAATTTTCACAATAGAATACCATTTTGGGGGGAGAGGAGGGCAGAAGAGAAACAAAACATCTTTATTTCCTGCATGGAGTCCTTTCATCTATTTGATAGCCAAAATGTGAATATTTTTCCTACTAATTACAGGGTTAAACACTGCAGTAATGAATGCAGCTCTTATCACCTAAACACACACAGATACTTTTTGCACTCTAAGGGACATAATAACAGCCCTAAACACAATGTTATCAATTTTCAGAAAGAACCCTTATCAATGTAAAATATGTAATTTCCAAATACCTAATCAGACATTTGAAGGACAGCTGAAGTTTCCATACAAAGGACAGCATTGTTCATAAATTAAATACAAAAGCAGCACTAAGACAATATATTAAAAAAAAAAAAAAAATCCATCCAAAAAAAATATATTAGAAGAAGCATGGTCATTTTCTTAATAGACTATCACAAGGTTTTTAACACAAGAAGAGAAGAAATTAGATCCATGGTATATGTTAACCACTTAAGGACCTCAGGAAGGTCTATGCCGTTATAGAGTGCAGGGCTTTTAATCCCTGCTGGTACCAATGTGCCCCAGAAATCACTGCAGCTAAATATATAGACTCAAGAGAAAAGTCTGTTATGACTGAAATGTACGTTGACAACATTTGATTGCTGAAATAAAACCAACATTTATTTACTTCAGAAAGACTCCAGAGTGCCCTAGAATATATACACGCACACATACAAACATATATACATAATATATTATAAATATTTAATACATTGCTAAACACAAATACACACATAAGTCAAGCCATAAGACTTGCTTTTCCCACAGAAGTCTCACTTTATCAGTGCTCTCACTACTACAAGGGATTCTGGGTAGGCGTATGCAAATGAGATCAAAGAACCACTTTTTTGCCTCATAATTCCACTTGGAGTAGGTGTCTGCTGTATACAACAGCTTTGAAACAACTCAGGAAGAGGAGCAAAGCCAGTGAACCACTCATGGACAGTTGTTGCCTTATTGAGCTCATTTGCATATGCCTACCCAGAATCCCTTGCAGTAGTGAGAGCTCTGTGGGAAAAGCAAGTCTTATGGCTTGACTGGTGTGCTTGTTTGTGTTTAGCAATGTAATAACTATGCACTTACTTCAGGTGGAAGGGGTTTTCAGCTACACTTCTTTCCCCACCACAACACGTGTGTGTGTGTGTGTGTGTGTGTGTGTGTGTGTGTGTGTGTGTGTGTGTGTGTGTGTGTGTGTATATATATATATATATATATATATATATATATATATATACACACACATAATATATATATACACACATATACATACACACACACACACACACACAGATGAAAAAAAAAAAAAAAGCCAGCACTCTAGGTCTTGGAATAAACCTGTGAAGTTTTTTGTTTTTTGTTTTTTTTACACTTACAACAGTCAGTCCTGACTGACTGTTGGAATAAACCTGTGAAGTTTTTTTTACTTACAAGACCTTACATTTGCCTTGTGTTTTGATGAGAAATAGATCATTTAGAAATAAAAGAAGAACAAGTTCTGAAAAAGGAAGAGAAGAGGAAACAATAGGAGAAAGGTAAATTAGAACCAACAGACACTTTAAAGCAGGGGTTCTCAACCCAGTCCTCAAAGACCAGTCCAGGATTTAGGGATTACCTGGGTGTGTCTAAGGTGTTTAGAGAAGAAAAAACAAAAAAACAAAACCCAACTTAGACTAGGTGTTTGGGGAAAAAACAAAACAAAAAAAAACCCCACACCTTAGACACACCCAGGTAATCCCTAAATCCTGGACAGCTAGGGGGTCCTTGAGGACTGGGTTGAGAACCTGTGCTTTAAAGGAACACAAACATGTATTCCTGATCCTGTACTGTTAAAACCACAATCTAGCCCCCATGTCCTCCCTAAATATAGTAAAATCATACTTGTATTAAAGTCTGAAGCTGCTGCCTTTGCCCCTGATCTGCCTGCTTGGCTGACATCATCAGAAGTGATTTTTCTGAGTCAATCACAATGCTTTCCCATATGATTGGCTGAGACTGTCAGGAGCAGAGGAAGGGCAGAGCCAGCACAATTCAAACACAGCAATGGTCAATCAGCATATTCTTCTAGCATCTCTAGCAGCCACCCGAGGAGTGATCAATAGGCTGTAATGTAAACACTGCATCTCCTCTGAAAAGACTGTTTACAGCAAAAAATGCATGAAGAAAATTATTATACTCACCAGAATACAACAAGCTGTAGTTCTAGTGACTATATAGTGTCCCTTTTAGAGAGGCATATGTAGGATCATTTTTGTTTGGCAACAGTATGAAATCATGATTTGATTCACTGCCCAGGTACACAATTTTTGTAGCACTTCGCACAGATATACTGAACACGTTATTTGTTTTGCTGAGTTTTAAATCATGGGTTCACAGACAATCTCAGACCAGACAGGGAAGAGGACAATGCAATCCCTGTTTGCACAGAATCCTATGCCAAACAGCAATATACATCTAAATGATGCCTTACTCATGCATGTATGGAACATTTAAAATAACGGTTATGAATCTGTTATTTTGATTAAAGGGACACTATAGTTGCCACAACACCTACAGATTAATGTAGTTGTTCTGGTGTCTACTGCCTGTCACTGCAGGCTTTTCAATATAAACATTGCCTATTCTGAGGCAAGGCAGTGTTTACATTACTGCCTAGGAACACCTGAACGCTGCCCAAACAGATGCACTAATTTAATGCATCTCTAGGAGGAGATGCTGACTGGTGCAGTGCATAATTTTGCCACATATGCATGATAGTCTCCCAATTGGATAGCAGTGGATTGGCTGAGATCATCAAGGGGATGGTGCGGGCCGGAACCAGCCTTGAGGAGACCAGTTAGGCGTTGGATAAGTCAGTTAAATTACCTTAACAAGTGACATGGGACGGGGACGGGGGGAACCTATAGTGTGAGAAAAGTTTGTATTCCTGACACCATAGTGGTCCTTTAAAGGAAGTCCAAATACCCTGGTGCCCTTCCTAGTGTAAGTATTCAAGCTGGAAGCTCTCTGCATGGAGATAAACCTGCACCTCATTGACAGAGTGATCAGATGATGTTTTGCCCCCTCTTCTGATTAGCTTTAACATCTTCCCCGATGGCCCAGTGGGTGTTAATAAATCTCTGATGGACGATTAATGACTCGCATTTATTCAGCAGGGATTAATAATAAATACTTGGTGGTAAAGTGGTCTTAACTATTTCCTGATGATCTGGTGGTGTATGGGGTCTAAATAACGTTATTCAAATACTTATATCATATTTAATTTTTTTTATTTATTTTTTTTAAATGTATACATTTCACATGAGGTTAAACGTCTATCCATTAGTTAAGGAAAGCATTATCTTCAAAAATTAAGGATATGAATAACATATGCACTGCAGAACTAACCTAATGACAAAGACGTGCTTAATAGGATATTGTATGTCCATCCACACCCACAGTTTCCTTACTTGCATCCTGTCCGCTTTCACTCCAGGATCTACTCTATACTAATGCTCATCTATATATGCAAGATAGATAGATAGATGCACGCACACACACACGTAAACATTAGACATATTAGAAAATATACACCATCTGATTAGTGTAAAGAACACTTTCTTCTTTAACCCTTAGTAATACTTTTAAACATATATGGATCCAATTGTAGCTGTATTTGACAAGTTTTGTATTTTATAGTTGCCATTTAAAATAGCACAACTTAAAAAGTAAAATGATATAGTGGAATTGTATAGCATTACAGATACTACTGGAACATTGCATTTCTGTAGATTTACAGATGTTTCTCTCCCCCCCCCCCAATTTGCTTTTCCATCCTTTGTAGAAAAAAAATAAAAATAAATAAAAAATAATGGAGGAGGACAAAGTATAACAGACTAGACTCTAGATCAAGGGTAGGCAACCTTGTAGCAGCACTGTGATGATATAGGATTGTGATGTCCCGTAGCGTGTCGGTCCTATCTTTTAAAATTGAGGTGTGTATGCTGCCCTATCTGCTTGTGTTATTTATACTGTAATTGCTTTGTATTTGTGCGTATATGAGCTATTATATTGTATATGTTCATGAGTAGTTTGTGGTATCGTGTACCTACGAATGTGGGCTGTGTATGGGGGCTGCTTGTGGAATTGTGTGTGTGGATGGATATGTCACATTGTGTGTTTGGTAGTGTGTGTATGTGTGGGGGCTGTTTGGGGTATTGCATGTGAGAGGCTGCATGTGGGGTTGTGTGCGGGTTACATTTGTGCGGATTGTGTGTATGTTTGTTTGTGGGCTGTTCGTATTATTTGTATGATGGGATGGTTATTGTACATTTCTGTGTATATCCAGCAGTGTGGCTTCCCTAGGTTCCAGTGGGGACCAGGCTGGCCAGGTACAGGTGAAGGGCAGGAGCTGCAATATCCGCTGTGAGCTGCTCTACCACAGTGTGGATTCCCATTCACAAGTGCTTGGAAGAAGTGATCTGAGGTCACTTCCTCTACTTGCTGCAATATATAAATTGAGGATTGTCCTTCACCACCTTTTCATATTAGCAGATATCTGAAGTTTCACTTGGACTCCTTATAGGCCAGAGCCTGTTTGGCTCTAGAAGCCTTGAGTGCCGTAGGTTGCCTACCCCTGCTCTAGATCATCTTACACGTTTACTGCATTTAGACAACATCAGTAACATGGAACAATCTGGGTAACTGAGGTTTAGAGAGGACTGCATGCAAACCACACGCACCCAACATTCCCTTTGGCTTCTCTCAGGAAGCAGAAGTATACCTGACAATCAACACATCTTTTACCAAAGACTTCTACTCCCACAATCATCGGCCAGCCAGGTCTGCCCAGCAATGACTAGAGCAGTAAAGACGGCATTCCAGCTGCTGTGGACTGTGTTTCACATTACTCCCAGACAGCAATGCATCAAGCCAGATGTCAGTGATTCCTGTCACAGGACCATACCCAGGTGTAATGCAAGTATGAGCAATATGGGAGTAATCTTAACATGTTACACATACACAGCCCTGTGTGCAGGGCCTACTCTCATCCACCCATTCCTGAGACAGCAGTGCTGTTACTAGTGTAGCCCAACCCTGCACTCATATAAACAGAAAGGGACCATTTCCCTTCCTCCCCCACGGATGCTGTCAGTGTGCACAGCTCTGTGTATGTGAACCCTGTCAGTGTGCACAGGGCTGTGTGTGAGATGCTGTCAGTGTGCACAGGGCTGTGTGTGAGATGCTGTCAGTGTGCACAGGGCTGTGTGTGTGTGTGTGTGTGAGAGATGCTGTCAGTGTGCACAGGGCTGTGTGTGAGATGCTGTCAGTGTGCACAGGGCTGTGTATGTAAGATGCTGTGTGTGTGTGTGATGCTGTCAGTGTGCACAGCTCAGTGTGTGTGAGATGCTGTGTGTGATGAAGGGCACCGTGTCCGGAGCTGGCACTCACTGTTATGTGTGATCCTCTGGACGTTGCCGCTGCAGGTCTGGATGATGCTGTTGAAGTCCCGGCCCCGGGCCGCGGTCTGTTGCCTGTAGGCGGACATGATGCTGCTCGGTCGGCCTGTGTGATCCTGTCCGCCGGTCACTGCCTCACTACGCAGCAGCAGAACGACGCCCGAGAGGCTAGATCAGCTTGATGATGTCACTGCCCTCGCCAGCCAATAGCAAGCTAGTTTCCATTGGCGAGGGATGCATGGATTAGGCGCAATGGGCGTAGCGCGGTGATTGGCTGTGCCGCGTTCGTTATACCACGTGATGTTGGGTGTGGCGGGAGACCTGATGTTGGAAGAAATGGGTTCTATAAATATCTGGAATATGGAATAATCTATTAGACTCAGCTCACTGTTACTGTGTCACTCTTTACAAGGTGGTTGATCTGAGCAATGTGTCACGGTATGAGAGCTGCTCAATTAAACAGGGAATAGACAATATGGAGTCAATTACAATTTTTAGATCAATATAACCAAAGTGGAGAATTTGTTGGCTGCAATTTACTATTCCAACAATACACCATCTTAATTTAGGAAATAAACTCATAAAGTGCGGATGGCTTAACTGTAGGGTTACGAAATCCACCATGTTTACATACTGATGGGCGGCACATCAAAAGGTTGCCCCATAGAATTATGTGTCCCTGAAAACATGGTGGATATGGAAACCTTACTTAAAGGAACGCTATAGGCACCCAGACCAGTTCAGCTTAATGAAGTGGTCTGGGTGAGAGGTCCATCTAGTGTTAACCCTGCAGCTGTAAACATGGAAGTTTCAGAGAAACTGCTATGTTTACATATAGGTTAATCCAGCCTCTAGTGGCTGTCTAATTTTATGGCAAGGCAGGAGGCTTCATATTTGCTTATGTTTCTTTACTGTAACTCCCAGCAGCAAAGAAGTAGTTAACAAGGTTGTAAAAAATTCAACCAATCATAACACATTACAGGAACAATATAGTGCTATCAGACTCCTCCCACTTCCTCTTTCTTTGCTGCTTGCCTCCCAGGTGAGTCTATTCTAATTATGTTGCCTAGTTTTACTACTTGATTTTTTTATTTGTCATAGATTATTTGATAATTTCTATATGTTAACCCCTAAAGACCGGAGGGCGTATTATTGCGCCCTATTTTAGGTGGCTCTAAATGCCGCCGGGCATAATAGTACGCCCTCCGTTCTTTCTATACTTACCCGGTTGGGGGGACTCCCAGGGAGCCCCCGCGGCACGTCCGAACCCCTGGCAGCCCCCCCGGCCATGTGAGAGTGAGGTCCTTGCGAGGACCTCACAATCACATGGCCAGGATAGCTGCCTGCTGTATTGCCAGCAGGGGGGCTGCCTGTAATGACAGGTGGTCCCCCTGCTGGCTGAAAATAAAATTAAAATAAATTAATAAGTGTAAAAAAATTATAATATATACTTAGATCATATATATATATATACTATATATATATGATCTAAGTATATATATATATATATATATATATATATACATACACACATATACATACACACACGTACACTGTCTAGGTGTATTTTACTATTAATATATAATTATATATATATATATATATATATATATTAATATCAAATTACACGTAGACTGATACTGATTAAATATATATATATATAATTATTGTTATATATATTTATATACAATATAAAAAAATTTAATATGTAAATACATAAAAAATAAAATAAAAAATAAAATAAAATAAAAATAATTACAAAATATATAGATGTGTGTTATTTCGTTCTAACGGTATTGTGATATTAATACATAAATATATACGTATATATCACTATATATAAATAAAAATATTTTTAAAAAAATGATATATATATATATACATACATACACATATATATATATATATATATATATATATATACACATATATATTCACATACGTATATATATATACATATATTAATTCTACATATATATTTCTGTAATATTTTTACATAATTGGGTATCTTAATTAATTACAATTAGCGGGACCTGCCTGACAACCCATGCCAAAAGTAAAGGGAATTTAATTTGCCAGCACTATATTTAACCCTATAACTTTCCAAGACACCATAAAACCTGTACATGGGGGGTACTGTTCTACTCGGGAGACTTCGCTGAACACAAATATTAGTGTTTTAAAACAGTAAAATGTATTACAACGATGATATCGCCAGTAAAAGTGAAATTTTTTGCATTTTTCACGCACAAACAGCACTTACACGGACGATATTATTGCTGCGATACTTTTTACTGTTTTGAAACACAAATATTTGTGTTCAGCGAAGTCTCCCGAGTACAACAGTACCCCTCATGTACAGGATTTATGGTGTTTTCAAAAGTTACAGCGTCAAATATAAGGCTTGTGTTTCATTTTTTTCACATTAAAATTTGCCAGATTGGGTACGTTGCCTTTGAGACCCTATGGTAGCCCAAGAATGAAAATTACCCCTATGATGGCATACCATTTGCAATAGTAGACAACCCAAAGTATTGCAAACAGGGTATGTTCAATCTTTTTTAGTAGTCACTTAGTCACAAACACTGGCCAAAATTGGCGTTTTTTGCATTTTCACACACAAACAAATACTAACGCTAACTTTGGCCAGTGTTTGTGACCAAATGGCTACTAAAAAAGACTGGACATACCCCATTTGCAATACCTTGGGTTGTCTACTATTGCAAATGGTATGCCATTATGGGTGTAAATTTCATTCCTGGGCTACTATGGCAATGTAACCAATCTGGCGAATTTCAATTTCAAATGTAAAGTGCTATATTTGACCCTGTAACTTCCCAAAATGCTATAAAACCTGTACATAGGGGGTACTGTTTTACACGTGAGACATCGCTGAATACAAATATGTGTATTTTATTGCAGTAAAAGCAAACAGTATTATGACATTGACAGTTAAAATGTCATGTAGAACTAAAAAAATCTTATTTTCTCCCATTTTTTTCATATTATATTATGTTTCATAGCTAAATATTTAATATTAAATGAAAGCCCTGTTTCTCCTGAATAAAATGATATATAATAAGGGTGGGTGCATTTAATATGAAAGAGGTGAATTACGGTTGGACAGACATGTAGCGCAAATGCCAGGTTTTGTTTACATTTTGTTTCGTTCACAACGTGTACATTTGGCTCCGTCCTTAAGGGGTTAATTGCTTTCATCACTTTATTTTTGTATACTCACTTTGCTCTTACAAGAATTTAATACACTTTATTTTTAACTCTAGTACTATTTAATTTGTCCCCCATATTTTAGCATAGGACCCACCAATATTGGGGTACTTTCAAAGCAGTGGTGGGCTTAACATTATATGGCCATATGGTGGAACTAAATCCCCATATTTATTCTTAGATAGGCAATTTAGAAGCCTTCTTTGTGTTGTATTTTTTGTAGTCTGAGTGCGCCGCAACTATTTATTTTTTCATGTATGAAGTTAGGTCACTGCGGCAGCACCTTTCTTGCAAAATGCAGGTCTCGGGTGTGCCCCCAATCCTTTCTCTGTACACTATTTATTGATTAATAGTCAATATAGACTGTAAGCTCGTTTGAGCAGTGCCCTCTTCAACCTATCATTCCAGTAAGATTTCTTGTAATTGTCCTATTTATAGTTAAATCCCCCCTCTAATAATATTGTAAAGCGCTACGGAATCTGCTGGCGCAATATAAATGGTGATAATAATAATATCTATGCTTTTAATTACCCTAACACCTAAGGCCAAGTTCTTTGTTGACATTATGAGACAAAAGTTCTTCCGACTGGTCAAAAACACAGTCAGGCCCTTGGTGCATTTGATGTTTTTGTGCAATTTTATTTTAAAAAA